AGGCATAATTGCCAATTACGAGTACCAATTTAAATGAGAACTTATGCCATATATCCAGCTATGAAGAGGTATCATGGAAATTATGGACTAGAGTATGAGCAGAGACAACATCCATCACCAGCAACTATCAGCTGCAGCAGTTAGCAGAGCTCATTGCCTTGGTCCAGCAAAGAGCTAAATAATTATTTTACATCATTTACAGCCACTCTAGGATGATGACAATTAGACTGTTGTTGATGCCAATGTAGTCAAAAGTAGCTGGGTCACAACCATTATGTTGATAGTCGCAGACCCCTTTATCCTATAATTTGTATAGTGATTGGGAAACACTATGTCCAAAAAGAGAATGCATATGTATGTAAGATTTAGTTAGAGCTGGTGAAACCACAGCCAGGTAGATCCTGCTGCTTTTTTGAGCCTTTTCCATTACAGGTATAAATACTCCAGGGGAAAAAAAAAAAAAAGGGAAAGGCAAAAAAAAAAAACCCTCCCAAAAATTAAGCACAGTTCAGTCTTGTGTACCCTGCCAGAATGCATGCCAACTGCTTCAGGCAGACAAACATTCTCACTGCTGAGACACAAAACTCCTCTGAAGTTATCTGGATAATTAATAAAATAAACTACATGGAAATTAAATCTGTACATGTGTAAGAAAACTGAGCAGCCTCACAACGGATATCTTGTTCTCTAGTATGTTTTAGAAGTTTGAAAGATTTTTATTTTAAGTGGAGCATGACTACCCTGGGGCCTCTTCTGCTAATTAGCCAGCTGCAAATGAAGTATAGCATAGCTCTCACCCAGTGGATGCAGGGATTTATCCATCAGCCAGATGCAGAGGTCACCCAAGCAGAGGCACACTTCACAGTGACATCAAGAGTCTGGATTTGCTGCTTTCATTCTGGAAAGCAATCACACTGCAGTGACTAGAGGCAACCTACACAAACACGGTGACATTAACACATTTCCTCTAACTGTGGAAATGTGAAGCCTTATTACTTTGCACTGAAGTGGCCCAGTTCCTGTTAGAAATACAGGACAATAATTAAAAATGTATTAGTAAGACAGAGTGACCCACAGCTATATTTTGTTGATGGAGGTTATAAAAGCACCTAATTTTGTCGTTCTCCTTCTGAAGCGTGTGACAAAGAGGAAGAAATTTAGCTTAGTTATGCTAAAGTTCAAAAATATTTCTCACTCAGTTTATAATGATTTGTTCTTAGGTTTTCCTCCACATAAAAATTACTTTTTTCTAGGTTTGGAAATTTAATGCCTAATTTACCAGGTTAGGGGTAACAAGATGCACTTTCACATTTGTTCTGCAAACCCAAATGGCAGAGGGACTTTTTTGTGTCCAACAAAGGTCAAAATATCTCTGTTAGTAATTAAGTCTCATCAACTGGCTAAAGAATTTATTACTCCTGTAATAAGCTTGTTGCTAGACTAGGTGGAAGCAATGGCCTAGGTGACACAGCTCCTGTGTTATTTGTTGCATGGTAGCATAAAAAGCAGACATGAATACTCATTTCTTGCTAATGCTTTCAGATTCATTATAAATGAGGAAAACAAAATTAATGGGTTTGAGTTTATGGTGAAATTCCATTAGGGGATTGTGCTCTAGCTGCCAACTCATCTGGATTTCCTAGGAAATAATGGTTTAACCACAGTGTCATTGTTGTTTGTAGAAAATAATTGATCAAGCAGTGTAAAAGGTTTTGTAAAAGCATTCAAAAAAATGGGAAAATTCCCAGTTGCCTCCTCTTGCTTTTAGCACAATGATCTCTAACTACTTCTGCTTGATCCTAAATTAATGTGTAATTTTCAAAGATTGTGATATAGGACATATTTATGGTTTCACAGTACCAGGGGTTAGAGAAATGAGACTTTGGAAAGGAAAAACCTTTGTCAAAACACAGATTCATATGTGCTGCATGCTGTCACAAAATATAATTGTAGTACAAGGAAGTAGTTACACACCTTCTCAAAGAGCACTGAGAATGAAAAGAAAAATCAACTGCTTGTCCAGATATCTGAAAGATTTTGCTGTCATGCAATCATTTCTCAGAAATACTTTGTGTAGGATAGAGTATGGGCTACAAAGAAGGGAAAGCATGGGTTACAATGAAGGAAGAACAACTTTAACCACAGAATTTGTTAACCCTATCAGAACAGTACAGCCCTGAAGGGGCTTGAGGAGGTCACTTGCTGGTTGACAGTCAGATTCTCAAAATGTTTGTGTAACTCCTGCTCAGACTCCTTCTATAGCTATTAGTCACACTATTCCCATGCCATTTAGTCTTTAGTATCCTAATAATGCTTATTTCTTAACAGCTTACCTGAACATTGCTGCATTTTGAGCCCATTATTTCTTGCTCATTAGGTCATGCAAAAGAAACTACTTCTTTCAGATATGGATCTACAATATCAGGACTAATAGAGGCCTGTACACAACACTTCTACATAGTCTGATAGGGTGTGAAAGCTGAAAAACATTCCAATACATTCAGCTCCTGCAGCATTAAAAGATGTCCGGCATGCTTTGAAATAAGTGTAACAGTCAGAGCTGAGCCATATGCTAAGCATAAAGGCAAAGTAATTTAAAAATTACTTCAGGACAGACATGCATCATAACCAGTAGGAAGAACAGCAGACACACAGTGAAGGGACTGGTCAATGTATGCAAAAGGTAAAGGTGACTCAATGTCATTAGATTTAGTGTTGACAATATAAATCACCAGTATATTATAGTCCTTTTGACTTTTTGCATAATTAATTCAATAACCTGAGCAATTAACCCAGTTAATTGCTCTTGAGTAGTGTCTGAGTGAATGATAGGTGATAGGTGATAAAGACAGACAAACAGTCAAAATTAGTATGGTTTAGTGTGTGGTTTAGACTGTGGAACAGAAATCCTTTCTCAATGGCAGCCAACGGGGAAGGATGTGCTGCTTTTGGCAAGGGATAGAGTTCATTTTTTTCACAGCAGCTGGTGTGGACTATGTTTTTGCTTTTTGCTGCAAACAGTGCTCATAAAACAGAGATGTTTTCACTACTGCTGAGCAGTGCTTCTATGGTGTCAAGGTCTTTTCTGCCTCTCACACCACCCCACCAGCGAGGGAGCTGGGCAAGCACCAGCTGGGAGGCGACACAACTGGGACAGCTGATCCCAGCTCACCCAAGGGATATTCCCTAGCATGTGGTGGTGTGCTCAGCAAATAGAGCTGGGTGAGGGAGAAGAAGGGAGGGAGGCATATTCAGAGTAACGGAGTTTGTCTTCCAAATAACCATTATATGTGCTGAATCCGTGCTTTCCTGGGGGTGGCTGAACCCCTGCCTGACCATGGCAAGTGGTGAAGGAATTTCTTGTTTTGCTTTGCTTGTGTGCACAGCTTTTGCTTTAGCTATTTAACAGACTTTATCTCAACCCAGGAGTTTTCTCACTTTTACAATTATGATTCTCTTCCCCATTGCAGCCGGATGGGGATGGGGGTGGGGGAAGGGGCTGTGTGCAGTGCTCAGTTGCTGGATGAGGTTAAACCATGGCAGGGGCTCTCCAGCACTTGCCTTCCTGTTTAGAGAATATGAAGTATATATTCTGCACAGAGACTGAAAAGTCTTGCCTTATCTCACTTTGCCATTTCTTGTGAAGGCCTGTCTCTATAGATAGCATATTTCCACACTGGAGACAGACAGAATGCAGTGAGCACTCCTAGCACTGAAAGAAAAGCCTTGCCTCAGCTCACCCCATCTCACTAAGGCTCTTCTGTCTGTGCAAGAATAATTACAGAGGAAGAGCTTTCACCTCACCTCACCTTGTGAGGCCTTTTCCCCGTGCAGTACACATTACTTCTCTCTGTGTTCCAGGGTACATTTATACCTAAAATAGCATATATATACAGAAAAAAATGTCTCGGGCAAAATAAGGACAGGTGTATGTATTGCATATGTACATGTCTGTGCCCTGAGGCAGGGACTCACAGAATCAGAGAGATTGAAAGGGACCAGAGTGGATCATCTGGTCCAAGCTCCCTGCTCAAGTAGGGTCACCCTAGAGCACATGGCAGAGGATTGTGTGCAGATGCTTCTTGAGTATCTCAAGATAGTCAAGTGAGAGAGAACCCCACAACCTCTCTGAGCAATCTGCTCCAGTGCACAGTCACTATAAAGTTCTCCCTCATGTTCAGGTGGAACTTCCATGCATCAGTTTCTGCCCATTGCCTTGTGCCCTATTGTTTGGCATCACGGAGGACAGCTTGGCTCCATCCTCTTGGCACCCCCACTTTAGGTATTTATACACTATATAGATATATATTTAGATATACATTGACAAAATCCTCTCCCAGTTGTCTCTTCTCCAGGTTTAACAAGCCTAGCCTCCCTCAGCCATTCCTGGTAGGTGATGCTCCAGCCCCTCATCATCTTTGTTGCCCTCCACTGGTCCCGCTCCCGGGGCTCTATGCCTCTCTTGTGCCGAGGAGCCCAGAACTGATCACAACACTCCAGATGTGCCTCACTAGGGCCGAGCAGAGGGGCAGGATCACATCCCTCCAGCCTCTCCTCACCCTGCCCCAGCCTGCCCACGGAGTCACACATAAGGCAGCGCCCCGCCACACACAGACTGAGCGGGCCGGGCGGTTTGTCCCCGCCACACGGGCCGCTCCTGCCGGGACCGGGTGGGATGAATCCCTGGAGGGCTGCGAGGCCCGGCTGTGTTGCCCGGCCCGTCCCTCCCTGTTCGGCCCGTCCCTCCCTGCTCGGCCCGCCCTCCGCGGCCGGGCCGTGCCGGGCCGGGCGGGGCGCGGCCTCACGGCGGAGCGGCCGCCGGGGGGCGCTGTAGGCGGCGGCGCTCGGGTCCGCGACGGCGCGCGCGGCGCTCGGGCCCTCCCGCGGTTCCCGGCCTCACTCGGCCCCGGCAGCGGATCGGGGCGGCGGAGGAGGAAGAGGAAGAGGAAGGAGAGGAGCAGGCGGGAGCGGGACGCAGTGAAGAAGCGCTGCGAGGAGCCATGTCCGCGCCCGCCGGGCTGCCGCCGCGGCCCGCAGCCGCCGCCGCCGCGTTTCCCCCGGGCGGGCCCGGCAGCTCCCTGGAGGCCGCGGCCCCTGCGAGCGGCGCGCCGCGCTGCCAGAACGGTGAGGGAGCTGCGCGGGGCCCGGGCGGGCGGGGAGAGGCCCGCGGGGTCCCCGGGAGGAGCCGCGGCGCTCCCGCGGGGGTGAGGCCCCCCTGGGGGCCGGGGCCTGTGCGCTGTTCCTGCCTCCCCGAGGGCGGGCGCGGGCCCGAGGATCCGGCACGCAGCGGAGCCCTCGCTGAAAGGCAGCGGGACCCGCGGAGCCGCTCGGGGAAGGTGCGGGGCCCGCGGCTGCGTGCGGGGAGAACTTGAGAAGGGGCGGCCTCTCCCGCTTCCTGAAGGGGCCAGGGAGGGAGGGGGATCCGCACCTTAACTCCTGCCGCGTTTGGATCTGCCCGCTGCTGGGGCGCCTGGCTGTGGCGTTTCAGGAAGGCTCCGGAGGCCGAGGCACCTCCAGGCCTCCATGCTGGCTGTGGTGTGTGAGAATGGGCGGAAAATCGCGTATTGGGGGTGAGAGTCGTCACTTTGTAGCTATGTATGAACTTAAAAGTAGTGGGTGGGTAAGGCGTTCGCACCACTGGATCTCGGGAGTTGAGCTAACAGGGAACATTGGACCAGTGAAATGTGGGTCACCGGAAAACAAAGGCAGAATAGTTTGAAGTCACAAAATATTGACGCCCATTTCAGGCAGAGAGGTGGCGAGACTGACTGTAGTATGAATGAAAGTAACGAGCGTACACTTCCGCATTTTTAAATTGGTGCGCTATAAAATCACTTCTTTATTGACACACCACGTTAACTCTTCAAAATCCCTATATAATAATTTTCTTCGTGCAGTATTGGTTTGGTATCTAACTTTGGCCTCTTATTTGCATCGAGTTCTAGCTCATACTGTGAAATCTTTTGTAGTCGTGCTGTTTTCTGCACAGTTGTGTTTTCTGTGCAGAGTAGGGACCTACAAAATTTTTTACTTGAGAATTGCGAGCTTTTCTCGTGCCCAAAAGGGTAGTTAAGTGCTAAGCACTTAAATGCCTATACAGTACATGTTGAGGCAGTCACTGAAGAAAATGAAGGTAATTAAATGCTAGGTTTTAAGAAGATACTGATGCCTCAGTTGTGTCCAAACTGGTATTGTGGTGCTGGGGTTGTAAAAATTGTTCAGAAAATGCCAATTTACATGGCTTTTAGTCAAAAAACATGCCATTATTACAGCTGCTACAGCATGAGTAGCCTGGAAGTGTTTTACAGAAACAAATAGGAGCTGTCACCCTATCTTCTCTTTGTGTTCTTAGCTTAATAATTTTAAAGAGCCATCGTTACTAGTTGTTGTTTTAATTAATTAACTTCTTGTTGCTGCTAATATTGGTAGGAACAGCTTGTGTGAAACTAGGGCCTAGACCAGTTATTTTCTGCAAAACTCTCTTAGTAATTCTGAGAACTGTTCAATAACAGCCTTAAGTGTTTATTGCATAAGTTTGGTTTTTGTGTTCCTTCAGATGTCTTTGATGACTTTAGTCAATAACCCTGAATTTTTCGTTTTGTGACATCCAGAAATGACAGTCCAAAAATTCTTAATTGGCCTATCTGTTGTCTGAGTGCTAATCTCCTGAAGTTACAATACAGGATTTGAGGTTTTGGGGTTTTTTTGATGGAAATAGGAGAGGAAATAGAGAGGAGTAGCAATAGAAAAATACTAGTGGGAAGTTCTGTACTGTATAATAGAAACTAAATTTCATGAACAGGGTTGTCACTGCTTTTGAAATTTAACTTTATGTCATTGGAGTGGAGTTTAAGTGTAAGATCCTGATGTGAATTGAGCTGTTTCTCTACTGGTTGAAAGAAAACACTGGTGTATGTTTTCCTTTAGAGTGCTTTGTGTTTTAATTTGGTAAAATGTGAATTTTTGAGGTAAAACTATGTAGTTGCTGCCATCTAATGAAAGAGAGTGCTTTTTGCAGAAAGCAGGCAGCCTGTTGTACATAGAATGATATTAAAAAGGATGTTCAGGTTTGTTATTAGTGAATTTTGCCTGGTTCCATGACCAAGTCCATTTTAGATCCTTGGAGACTTCAGTTTTTGTTAAATTTAGGCTTGATTGTTTTGTTGAGTTTTGAAAAGTGACTTCTTCTGTGTATGGTATTTTCTTCTTCCTCCTCCCTTACAAGTTTGGGAAGCTTTTTTTCGTCTTAAAGTGGCTTTGTATGTAAGTGGGAAATGACCTATTTCCTAATTTCAGCATAACAAAATGGCTCTTGTTAAATCAGTACTCAAGGATGATTTCTTCAGTAGTGATGGGGACTTCAGCACTAACAATTTAATGCATTGAAGTGCAGCACTGAGAGGATAATTGTTTTGAATTCCCATGACTCTTTACAAGAGTTTTGTCTGGTGCTGTCTACAGCTGGTTTGTAAGGCTGCCATTGGTATTTCTACTGGCATTTTGGAAGCAAAATTTTCATTATTGTCCTGTTTAGTCTTGTTTTTCATCCCCCCTCAGACTGGGGATAGTTTTGCTCCATTTAACAAAGAGAACAGAGATGTGAAAGCTGGGAAACCTCTGAATATTTTGTGCCAGTGGGAGGCTGTGAGTCTTCCTGAAGGAGGAGACAGTTCTGTGGCTGAGCTGCAGCGAGAGCTCAGCAGTGAGCGAGGGGCAGTGGTGCTGTGGTGCTGCCCCTGCCCAGGGAGGGAAGGGCCTGTGAGGAGGCTGTGGGAGTCTTCTCTGGAGGTGGGTGAGGGGTGTTAGAAGGTTTGGAAAGCTCACAGGGGGATTTGGATAGAAAGGCACTTTGGTGCTGTAGCGTCCATAGACTCCATGCAGCTAGGGTGTATGGCAGCGGCTGAATTATGCTGCTGAGGGAATGTGTGGCCATGAAAACCAAGCGTGACATGAGCAAGCAAAACTTTACTCTTTCACATGGTGGCATAACCATAGCACTGCTTCTTTTACTTTTTTTGTAGGAGTTTGGAGTTTCTTGTGTTGTGGCTCCCTCCTCCCTTAAAAAGAATTAGGATTTTTTTGGGGTTCACCTGTTAATGTCTCTGTAATTACACATTGTAACTTTATATAATTGCATATGTAATTTATATAATTGCATACTTATTATTTAAAGTATTAATTTGTTGATAGAAGGAGAGGTGCACTGCTTTTGTTACAGAGATGATAACCTCAGCTGCACACAGCTCCTTTATGGAATTTTTGGAGATATTTGTCAGGTGTTTTGGAAAGATGGAAGCACCTGAGACATCGAGACTGATTGTGCAATTAACCAGATTTTGAAATGACGCTGAAGATGTATTCTGATTTCCAGTGTTGAAAACTGTTCAGTTTTGTAGTCACCATTAGTAGCTTTAGCTACCAATTGCAGTACAAAAATTATTTTCCACTCACATTCTTTGTAATAAAATGGACAAAAAACTAACTTCAGATAGTGAGAATGATGTGTAATTGTAAAATTTGCTTTCAAAAGACCTGAGGCTTGAAATCAATACAATTTTTCAAATGTTGTCTGTCTCAGGTTTTCATGTGTGTGTTTGTGAATGTTTGTGAATGCTTAAAAATATGAATAAAAAGGACTCTGCATTTTATCATGTAGAGACTGATATCTTGTATTGGTAATTTAATCTCTGTTTATGGTGTTTATTTTGAAACAAGAGCTAGATACTAGAAGACTGCAGTAGATTATTTGATATGCAGCCTTTTATTTAGGAGTCAGGTGCTTCTAAACCAGTTTTTAAGTTACACCTGCTCAGTTAGTTAAATCTGCATATATCAGTAGAATAGATGCACGTTTTATTTTCAAATAAAATATCTTTTCTTGCCACATTAGGTGGCATAGCTGCTTAAAGCCATAAACCTTGATACATGTAAATTATTGCTGTATCTTTGGGTTTGCTTTTTCAGACTTTAAAAAGCAGGTCAAAAGTCTGGCAAAGTTCATGTGGCTGTTAATGGCTTGCTAAGCAAAAATCATTTTGCTTTAAAGGAGAAAAAGCTATGCAGCTTGGTAAAGCAGCTCCCACTTTTTCAAGAAGGTGAATCAGAAGCGTAGCTCATACATGCTCTCTTCAAAACTTGAGATTTTTTTTTAAGCTCTTTATGCTTTTCCCCCAAGTGCCTGTCTGTCTTTTCATCCAGCAGTCCAAGTTACTGTTCTGCAATTTTTTAGCTCCTTTCTCTTCTGCTCAACTTCCTGTCAGTTATAAAAGGGCATTTTTGGTTTTACCAGACAGTGATTTTGGGCAGTATGTTCCTTGCTTATAGGGGTCTGTTAACAAATTCATTATTAAAATTGCCTTGCAGATTAATTATAGTACATCTAGAGGTTCCTTGGAGAACAGTGATTTTTCAGAATTTCAAGACAAGAGAAGTAATGCTCAAGTTTTGTAATCATTGTAAATATTAGCAGGGGAATCAACTATTCATTATTACCTCAGCTGCCATTTAATTTGTGAGTGGGCCATTCTGTGTTTGTTTTTATTGGCCAGGGAGTGGGAAATAACACCGTAGTCATTCTGTGTCATGTAAGCAATAGGGTGTGGGATTTTTAAGAAAGCAAGTTATCCACTCATATGCATCTGTGGTTCACTAAAAACAAAAACAGGGTTTAAGGAATGGGACATGAGGAAGACCTTTGAGATTTCCCATTGAGCAGTTGGTTAATAAAATCAGTTTGAACATAGTTAACATTTGGTCTGTAGCAGGCAAGCCCTTGTTTGACCCTTGCTGGGCCAGTATGAAATTAACCTCTAATGTTGCAGAGCCAGTGGCAGTGGTACCTGAGGTCAGTTTCTCTGATACCAACATCTCCCACACCTGATGTGAGTATCAGGAAGTAAATAAAAATGATGTGCTTTATCAAATACTCTGTAGTTTCATAAAAACAGCAGTTTTCCTGAAAGCATAATACATAAGGACGTAGAAGACAAATATAACTGTCCTGCAAGTCTCTATCTTGGTCACTGTATCAAAGACTTGTAAGGAAGAATACCTGTATTGTTCTGTATTGACATACTGGTTTCACTGCAGCTTTTCAGTTTCCAGATTCAGGTGGTTCAAACACTTACAAATACCAGTTTGGTGCTTATGGTTGCTCACTACTTTTTTAAATATTAACCTCCTATAAACTCTTAAAAATACAAACAAGATTCAAAATACAAAGTACAAACAAGAGGCAAACAATCTTGGCATGGAAACCTCTTTCAAGTATGGAAGCAATCCATTTTTCTGCGTATTTGCAAATTACTAAAAATAGTGTATTTGTATGCATTATACTTGGTTTATTCTCTCTCTGCTGATGAGAATCAAACTCAGAAATAGAAAAGAAGAAAGCAATTGCTTGTTAGTTCAAGTGCAGAGTCCATTGGCACTACTAGCAGATGCCCCTTTAACACATGTGATGTTTTCTCTTCATTTCAGGTCCTATGCAGAGTCAGATGCAGTTCCCTTCTGGCTATGGCTCACATCTTCCAAACTACAGTGCGCCTTCAGGACACTATTCCCAAGTGCCCAATAAAGCTGCTGCTTCACATCTGGAGAATCAGTACAGAGCCAGTTACTACCCTGGTTACTACTCAGCACCAGCACCAAATGCTGTGACATCTGTGGGTAGCAGCGTGTTGAATGCACAGGAGTCACATCAGTTGTACAACAACGCTCCTCCCCATTCAGGGGGCTCCAGTGACAGACCTGTTCAAGGAGCAGTATCATCTGCATCCTACTTGCATGTGAGTGCTCAGCAGTCATATTCAGCATTTGATAATCACTACAGCACCTCTGTCAGCTCTTCAGTTGCGTCTCAGGGATTTCCCCTTAATTCTGATCACTACGCTATGCCCGTGGTTTCTGGTGCCATGTATCCTAATGTTTCCTATCCTCCCGTGGCTGCTGGAGGTGTGTATGGGCAGACATTTACCTCTCAGAGTCTACCTGCTGTTGGACAGTTCAAAGAGACAAATGCATTTTCTAGCCAGAGTACATCAGTACCTCATTCCCTTCAACAGCACCTTCCCGTGGGATACAATACAACATTATCAACTGTTTCGTCTGCTCAGGCTGTGCAAGACACCCTCAGCAGGAATCTCACTGGATCCGTTCCTAAAGTAAACAACCAAATAAAAACAGGTATGGTGTTACTTGAAAGATAGTGATCTGCCAGATTTGTCTGGGAAACATAAGCAATTTTGTGCTCTTGTTGGCTTGTTTGTGTTCAACGTGTGGAATTCTGTAATGTAATTTTGAGTTCTGTCACTCATTCTTGTAGCTTTTCTAATTTGGTTACCACAGTCCTCACAATAGCTGCTATTTGGTTCTACTGAGAGATACAGAAAAATACACTGTTTAGGGGATAGTTTTCATTTATTTGTTTGGTTTTCATGTGAGTAGCCTCAGAAGGGAGTTTTTTCATGCAGTTCTGAAGGAACATGTAATTTCTGAAATATGTCTGTTTTTCACAAAAATACTTTTTTTTTTCTGGCTAGAGAATTTCTCTAAGTCATAGTTGTTGTTTCTTTAAATTTTGCCTTAGTGACACTGTAAGAGACTGAAATGTTGGTGGTAATGACTCAAAACAATCAGCCATTTGTGGAGGCAGCAGGCTCCTTTGCTGAGGCCAGGTTTGCACACTTTTCCCCTGGAGTAGGAGGAGAGTTTATGAGGGTGTGGTGTGTGATGGGAAATCAGTACACACAAGACAGGAAGGGTGAACACCCAGTGCCAGATGCTACAAGCTGGATCTTGAGTCAGGTAAGATCAGGCCCTGTGGAGGCAGGCTGGTACTTTTTATCATGCCAATTGTCCTTCCTTGCACCGTCACACGGAAGCCTGAGCGTGTTCATCCCTTCTGATGGGGCATAACTGACTCAAGGGCACTGACATGAGAGGCAGCTTCGTGCCTTAGAAGGGGCCAAAACCATCAAAGACCCCTGAAATGCCCCCAGACTCAATTTCCAAAGGAGTGGGCATGATCCACAGTGCTGTAAAAAACAGTGTCAAATTCCCCTGCCTGCATCCAAGGGAAGTGCTTGGAGTTCCCATGTACACCTGAACATAATTAACCCATTGAGCTCTGTTGTGTGGGACCCCCACCACCAAGAAGACCAGAAGAAGAGGACTAACAGGACACTGTCTGGATCCCCAGGTGGTGATATCTTTCTATTTATCCAACACATATAATTTGTACATATTGCTTTTCCATGTTCAGTATAGGTGGCCTGCCCACCTCAGTGGAAATCAGTAGAATTTAGTCCCATTTGGATGGTGTGAGACACCTCATGATGAGTCCATTGTCATCCCCACGTGCTGTGCACACCTGGTGTCAGCTGGCTTGTGGCTGCCCAACACTGCTGGTATTCACTGAAACTTTATTGGTGCTAAGGTGATACAACAGCACGTGCTTCACCCACAGACACACACACACAATATCTGCAGAAGTGCAGAGTGCTCTGAGGCCGGGCCTGGGCTGTCTTCTCCTGCCTTGACTTGGAGTGACCCAGGGCCCTCAGAAGTTTGTGATACCAGTTCCCCTGCACTCTGCAGAGAACATTCACAAATATGATGTCTGCCACCGTTGTGAGTTCCTGGATGTGTTTGTGGTGATGTTGGTATTTGTTCAGTTTTTCTCCAGTGGCCTCTTCTAAGGATGTGTCAGTACACTTGTATCACACAGTCATATCTGCCATGAATGCTTGAATTTCCTTCACAAAAATTAAGTCTGGTTTGTATAACTCATTGCTGTCATCTCTTGTATGTGGTTCTTGTATTAGACATACTGTCTAATCTTGCTTTTTTGCTTCCTTTGTTAATATTTCACATATGTAATTGTGGTTTTTAATTCTTGTATCCTGCACAACTGGGCAGTTCCCAATGATGTGGGAGCATGTTTCATTCTCAGCCTGGCAGTGCCTGCAGGATTTGAGGTATTTTTCTTGTCTACCCCTTGTCTCTTGATGGGTCTTAATCTGTCGCTTTTCACTCCCTTTCTCTCCTCTCTTTCTATTTTATTCTCTCTCTCTCTCTCTTCTTCACAGTTACTGTTAGATGAAATTCATACTATTGACTTTGGCATGCAGACTCATTTGCACCATAATTCAGGAAGAGATATCTCTGTAATAATTGTAATAATTGGATCTTAATAAACATATGTGCATTCTCCCACAAAGTTCAGGAAACAAGTGGAACCCTGCGTGGATTTCGAGTCAGTTGGGGCTTTTTAATTAATATTTTTGATAAGCATTTGAAAGAGTTAGGAAGTTGTAGCTGATTTTTGCAAGCAACAGCTTGGTGGTTTTAGTATGGATGTAGCCATAAGCTAGTGAAGGTGCCAGTTGAGGGCAAGTACACTCAGTCCTCATTAGTTCTTTCAGCTCCTGTTTCATAGGAAAACTGAGTACCAGTTCATGGGGTAGTACTTAGCAGGAAGCATGGAAGAGACTGGAAATGTGGGAGTACCTTCACAATGAAATGTCTTGCTCTGCAGAGGAGGGAGCAATAGTCTGTGCAGGATTTGATCTGATTTTCTTTCTAAACTGGGAATTTTCTGACTTCATGCAGTTTTGACTTGTAAGCAGTGCCAGACTACAGCTTGCTTTCTCTACTAAAGACAGATGTTACATAGCTGTAGGCTTCCTTTTTAATGCTAGATATTTCAGATTATAGTGTAACATTGAATCTGTGTTAGGAGTCCTAGTAGCTGAGACTTTCTCAGACCAAGGACTTAAGAAAGAACGTGGGTTTGATAAAGCTGTTGTTTGGGAAAAACAGTTAAGCTTAAATGAAGCTCATTCAATCTACAGTTTGAATTTAGTTTCAATATTAGTTTCTTCCCCCCTCCCAAGACTAGGATGTAGAATGTAATGTAGATTTGAATTCTGTACTGATGAATGCTCTTTGTAATTTTCTCCAGTATTTTCAAACCATTAAACAAAATATCATTTAAAAAAAGAAATATAGGGAGCTCCTTGTAAAGCTCCTGAAGTTACCAGCATTTCATGGTTATGCATAAAAATGGATTCTTTCAAGGACTGGCCAAAAAAGTTGACTCTGTTCAGTGCAGAATGTGCAGCTGGACTTGACAGAATGCAGGTGTCTTTCCAGAATAGCACAATATGCAGTAGGCATATGAAAACAACTTTTTTTTTTTTTTCAAACTGTTACTGTTTTATTTACAGAAGTTTTTCATTCCAATGCTTGTTAATTTTCTTTCCTGTAGAGGTGTCTTGAAGTGATTTTTTCATAGCAATTTTTTTGCAATGAGCAGCTGTTTTAAAGGTGGAACAGTGGAGCTGACCAGACAGTGAAGAGCAATATGAGCAGTAGTTTTATTTTTGAACCATTCAATGCTGCTCTTAAGGGGGTGATTGAGTTAGTATATGGCCTCAAGAAAAAGTAGTAATGTTACACTTGGATTTCAAGGAACTAATGATAGACTTGGCTGTGATAATGCTGTGTCATGGATACTCATTTTGCACTATGAAAATAAACACTGATCCACTGTTTCTGTTGTGCTTGGGTGATGCTGCAGTCCTTGGTTGGTTTGCTGGACTGTAGGCCCCAATAGTTACACCACATGCAGACTCTTTCTGGGCTTGTAAAGCTGCTGATACAAGCATGCCCTGTGCTTCATTGCACAGTGCACAGGTTTCTGGAACTGATTTATCTGCAAAATAATTTTTTTCTCTTTCCCCTGAATTCCGGTTTAACCTCTGTATTTCCTGACTAAGGAAAGCAGATAAACATAACAGCTGATAGCAAGGCTGAAGGAGGAGCTAGACAACTTTAGTACTAAACCTTGAACACTTTAAACCATTTTTGGTGTCTTGGGCTAAACAAACTGCCTCCAATGATATCTGATTTCTTTTAATCTGGAATTCAACATCTTTGGCTAAAATGTATTAAAAATCCAATTGCTACAACACCCTGATAGTAAAATACTTACATAAATAATTACAAATAAATGCCTAAGAATAAAATTGTAAAGTTATTCTAGTAATTGTTTGATCCTGGCATAATTGGTTTGGTTTTGAGATGCTGAGATTTCTGAATTTTCCAGTGCAGTCTTACTGTTCTCAGATGAGTCATTTTATATATAGTATTCTGTTTGTTCTCAGCCTTTAAGAAAAGGAGTTGGATTTTGAAAAGTATTTGCCAATTTCTGTACATCCTGGGAAAGTGTCTGAATGCAATACACAAGGAGCATAAGGAAATAATGAATGATCTGTTGGAAGGAAACAGTATTTCATCCTCCCTGCTTTCTTTGGGAAGAAGCAATGATGGGAAACAGTTGCCATCTGTTCTATGCATAGTTTTTTGCTAAACTACTTGAAAAAAGAAAGATTTACTGAAATTCATAAGCCTGCTTTCTATGACTGTTTGTGTAAAGAAACTTGGATACAGTATCCTCCTCTTTGTCAGGGTGCCAATAAGAGTTTGCTGTCATTGCCCCTGTGCTGTGAAAGATGCCCTTACAGTCTTTAAATTATAAATAAGCAAATTGCAGACAGACTGTCAGTCCAGATGCTGCAGTTTTAGTGTATTTTTCCAAACCATTTTTGTACAGTCAGCACTGAAAGCTCTCTGTGATGAAAATGAATCCTTTTTGTAGAAGAGTGATGTGTTGATAAAATCTCTGTTCAAACAGGACTTACTCAGGAAACTTAGGCTGGTGAGAGTTTTTCAGAAGTTGTTTGATTTCTGAATTGTTTTTTACTTGAATCACAAAAGTTGTCACCACTGGACTTGAATTGGTTTCTTTAAACATCTAATTTTATGTATAGCCTTGAAAAGGCTCAAGCATGCTGAATTTCCTAAGATCAAATCTCTTAATTTCTGTATGTTTTGTACTAAGGAGATAGAACTGCAACAAAGTATTTTCATAAAGACTTCAGTAGCCCCTTTCTGAAATAGCTGAAGTATTATCAGCAAGTGTGCTGAGATTTCACTAAAAGAAACCAGATTTATTTTAAGAGGATTTTTTTTGCTGGTAGTTGACTGCTCTTGGTGAATAATAGCCAGTGAGAATAATTTTCTTTGCTTTAGGAAGTATAAATAAAGTAGAATAAAAATATCTCTAATTTGAGTTTTTTTCTCCTTGGAGGTTTAAACTGCAAAATCACCCTCTTCTGTCTTTACAATCTGTACTTCAGCAGAAGAGTCTTGGTAAAAATCTGTTCAGGAGTGTTATGCTATGTAAATTTCATACTTTGTAATTTTTCGGTTTTTTGTCTTTCGAGGTCAGTAGCTTTCTTAAATGTTTTTCCAGTTTATTTCAGCTGAAATAGGAGCACTGTCATTATTCTTGGTGCTTTTCAACGTAGCACGGAGGTCAGCCAGGATGCCTGAATTTTACTGGGCTCCTCTGTGAGGAGAGGAAGCTGGAGAGCTCCTGTGGGTTTGTGGCATGGGTTTCTTTGCATCCTGCTATGGACAGTCTGCCTGAGCAGGAGACACTCTAATTTCATTATCTCACGCACATACTTCCCCTTATGTCACATCAGGATGTAAAGTCCTTGCTGCCCCAGTTCCCTAGGAATGTAGGCTATAATCCTGTAAATCTGCTAATATAGGTGTGCTTGAAAAAAGGGAAGGACTGCAGCCAGTACTGCAAGTCAGGGTGAAAGATGCTGTTGGAAAACAGGGAGGTAGTGCCTCTCTCCTTAGAAATCGTGTTGTGTTGGGTGCAGGGCGTGTGAGGGGTTGTGAGGGCAGGAAATCAAGACCACAGCTGAAACAGCTCAAGAAGGATAATTCTCGCATGTCTTCTGAAATTTTGAGGAACTGTGGTGATACTTTTAAACTGTGATCTCTAGGTCTCCAGTTAGACATTAAAAAAAATGACAACTTTGTGATGATGTAGAGGGAAAAAGGATGAATTACAACGCTAATTTGCCCGATTCTGCAGATTCTTTCTGTAACATGCCTTTTAGCTATAGATCATTTTGCTTGATTATTGTAAGTGCAAGACTTGTTCATGGTTGAGAGGCGTGAAGGAAAATCTTCAGTACACACTGAAGGTGAGGAAATGTGGTTTTAAATGTTAATTTTGTTCAAGTGTTTCCTTTGATCTTGGTTGCTTACGGCATTTAAAACCTTTATGGAGTCACAAATAAAGTTTAACATTTGATTTTGCAGATTGGATTTTTGTACAACAAAAATATATTTTATTTCTCAGAGTTTAGAAGCATTCATTTTACAATGCATTTAAAGGATTCATGTAATTTTGAAGGTAATTGGATAACCTTTGCTTGAGAATAGATATTAGTACTTGGCAGGAAGGTATTACATCTTCAGCTAATCCAGGTGTAAATTGGTTTTGGCTTTGAGCACGTGACACTGACATGACAGCATTTACCACTCTCTACAGCAGTGCTTGATGCTGCCAGCATGGCTATATTGCCTTGCAGTGTGGAAAATACCATCACCCTACAAACAACTCTCCAAAACCTGGGTGAGCACATGGATGTGGCAGAGAACTTCCCATGTCATCTTGCATGTCTTGCTTGAGGAAGCTGCTGTAATAAGAGCATTCCTGCTGACAAGTTCTGAAGCTGCCATGGGGAATCTGCAGGATATTGTGTAGAAGCAAAGATTATAGCAAGTCCACTGCAGTAAAAAAATGCTGTGTATGTTCATTGGAAAAAGACATCAGTTCATTTTGATAAGACTTGAAAAAAGCCATGTGTATGCTCAACAGCAGATTTTAAAATTGAAAAATCTATCAAAGATAATAAAGATGCGTGCTGTAAATTTTGACTGTAAATAATAAAAACAGAAGGATCATTTTAAGCCACCTCTTCTTCTTCACCCTCTAAAGAAACCTCAACTTGCCCATGAAGTTCTTTGAGATATCACCTCCACTATTCAAGGAAAAGTTCAGGGACTGTATCAACTACACAGCCATATGTGCAGAAGATGCAAAGTTAATGTTACCTCTGCATTCTCTAGCAAATTTGTTAACTTAAACAAGTACTCTACCAATGGAGTACTTGCTCTTGCTTAATTTCTGTATTTGTTTACTGAATACTTTTGGTAAAACCATTTCCTTTCTCTTCTTTTTAACAGCTTGGTTGGTCAAGGTTTTTTTAGAAACAATCATAATACAGATTTTCTCAATTTATAAACAAAGAGCAACCTTTAGTTGAGAGCTAACTTAATTGAAGTTGTGTTGTCCTCGTCTGATTGGAGTTTCAGCTGGACTATGTCAAATCTCTCAAAGCATTAATCTGACTTTTTTAAGCAGATTATATCTAGTCCAGATGTCTAAAACACATCAGGAGTTTTGTGGAATACTCAGGGTTGATTGAAACAGATTGCTTGGAATATGAGTTCTCATAACTGAATACCCATATTGCAATGTGCCAGCACTGCAAGGGAGGCATAGTACTGGTCTACTGCACAAGATTTCCTCCCATGAAGAATGTTGAAGGATGTATTTCAGTGGACTACATTCCACTTACCTGGGAACAGTAATTTATAAAAGCACAGCATTGTTGGGATGTATCAAAACGAAGCTTCAGCTTAGTCTTGCTCGTACTGCATCATGCTTTCTTTTTTTTTTTCCCTGTTGTCAGAGCAATTTGTCCATTATAATGGAGTTTTAGCACTGTAAGTATTGAATTTTTTAAAGCAACCAATCTTTCCGTAGATACTTGTTTGAAGGCATCTCTCTTTGAAGTATTGTATTTTTTTTTGTAGTTACTATGGAATCAAGTGTGATTGCTTGTGCTGTGTAATTGTCTGTGCCAGTACATACAAAGGGTTCCTGCTTTCTGCTGTTGTTTTCAGGTGGCATTGATTCTTCACAGCCCGTGCACTCAGTGAGCCAGAATGTTCCATTTACCAAGCCTGGAGCTGCAACATCTGCTGCCTCTGCTGTGATGTCGTCAGTACGGTCACCTGCTCCAAGCCTGTCTTCAAAGCCACCATCTTCACCCTCTGTTACACAGTCACCAGAGCTGGCCCTTCAGGAAGGTACTAAAAAGGAATGGGAAGTCACACTGCAGGCTTTTGCTGCATTCCACATGCACACATGAACGCTGGAAGTTTTATTGCTGCTTTTCTGTGTTTGGCTGGAGCACATCTCTGGCATCTCATCAGGCTCCCTGAGTGGTGGTGTTTTATGTCACCTTTGTTTTAGATTCTCTTAGTGCTTGTGTTTGATTTCCTTTGTCCATGTGTTGTTGCCTTTGACTTGTCTTGTTGGCAGTCCTACATGTCTCTTGCTCAAAAAAACTTCTTTTAGTTCCCTTATTCTAAAAAACTGCTCACTACTTTAGTTTCTTAGAGGAAGGTTTTAAAATTAGCTTGTAATTAGTCTGTATTGAAAAATGAAGTGTAAACTAGAAATCTCCTAGTTTGTGGAAACAATGAGTTTGAGGATTAAGTTCCAAACTTGTAGAATTGTTTTCTTACTGCCTAGCTCTAAGTGCCCATGGCAAGCTGCTGCAAGAATTCTTGTGGGAAAACCTGAGTCTTTGTATAAGCTCCTTCCTATTCTGATGTTGGCAGCATCTGGACAAAGAATCAATTGGCTCTTGAGCCTTCTTTAGTTAAATTAAACTTTACACTGATGTTTTGACTTGCCTCTTGATTATTACATGTTTCTGTATCTAGTATTCCAAATCTAGTTGACTGCATGATTTTTTTTTTTTTTTTGGCCATGTTTTCTCTTAGCAATTTCAGAATTTTGAATTCTTATGGATAAAGAGCTCTGCCTGAGGGGTAGAAGTAGGTATTAATTTTGTGAGAACAATATGGTATCTCTAGTGTTCAAAATAATTGGCAACCCCATGGTGTGTGATTGTCATAGAATATTTTTTTTTCTTAAATTACAGAATCCTCTGATGTAAATAACTAAAGTACCCCTTTTCCTCCTTTTTTCTGGTAGAATGCAGATTACAGGTTGTTCATCAATCATTTCTATATCTATTAGAGGAAAAAAAATATTCATTGCTGTAAAGTCCTATGTACAGTGTATCATTTTAAAGAAAGTATGTCAATTTTTGCAACTGTGGCCTTTGCACAGTTTTATAGTTGATTTTGGTGCTAGATAGACTTTGTGTTGTAGATGTGCTTACTAGAAAGACACTGTTGCTTCTTTTTCCAAAGAAATTGCAAACCTTTTAATGAGGAAAAGGATTTCAGCTCTTGAACTGTGATTGCCTTGGTGTGCAATGTGTGATTCCTGTGAAATGTGTGAACACCTGGTACAGCAGCTACAGATCAGTTCAGTGGCTGCTGAACTTCCCTAAATTCAAATGCTTCCACTAAGAGAAGGTGAATGTAGTAAGTAGCTGAATGAGCACATTGTAAAAACAGCAATATGTTGGCAGTATAAAGATAAGTTGTCAGGAGTTTTTATTGATCTAATTTTATTTTTTTACATGTCATCACACATAAGTTCCTATGTTCAGATGATGGTTTTATGAGCATTGGAAGACTTCAAACTCTTCTCTAGTTTTGTTTGAGGAGTCTGAAATAAATAATGTACCCTTCTTTTTTTATCAACAACTTTTTTATCAAAAGTTAAATAGTGATAACTATTTGTGGAAGTGAACTTACTGAGAAAACAGAATAATAATAAAATAAATATTTGTCTAGGTTAGAAGTCCAAGTGTGTTTCAGCTGCAGTAATCAGTTGGACTTGATTTTTTAAAATACTGTTTTAAATTATAGAATACCATTTTCTGCATGAAAACATTCTGAAAAAAAACCAGTTTGAATTAATTTTTGAAAAGGATTTCATTGTTTTAGGCTCCTCTTGGGGCATTCCTATAAAAACTAAAAAAATCTAATTGTTTACTTGACTATCTTCTAACAGGACAAAAGCCTTAAAATGTCTTGAAGCCTATTTAATCTTACATAACTATCTGTACAAATTTAATGTGCACTTTATGTTTGAAAGGCTTTTATGGCGTGTGTGATTGAACTTAAAATACTGAAATAGTTAGTTTATTTCACAGGCAAATGTGTTGTTATCCCAGTTTATCTTCTGTGTCCTACCACCTAAATTTCTAGGTGTCTGTAAATTATAGTGGGATAAAGCCTTTGAGTGCAATATTATTCTATCACAGGTACACTGCTTGCAGGGTTTAGAAATTTCCAGTCTAAGAAATTTGTGATGATTTAAATTATGTGGTTGCATTTTAGGTAACCAATAACATGACTCAAAATAAATAATAATTTCAAAATTGATTTTTGCAGTTTTAAAACTGCAAAAGTGGGAGATTCTAGCACCATTATCAAATCTGTAAAAGATACTAAGCAGAACTGAGCTGTCACAACAGAAAACATGATTAGGCACATGATGGCGCTTGGAATTGCTCTCTGCAGCCACCCATTTCTGCCCTCAGTTGCTTTCCCCCCTGTGTTGCTCTACTATTGGCATTGCTGGGCAGTGAACTAGAAAGGGAGACTTTCCCACCTGACAATGCCTTTTTAAACTGTGTTATTTTTTAGCCAGATCTATTCTCCAGAGGTTTTTTTTGGTCTGGACAGTTGTACTAGCACAGCACATTCTCAAAGGCAGAAATCTGTAGTGCTGCTGGCAATGAAAATGACTCCGCGCAAACTCATAAGGCTGCTAAGTATCAAACCAGCCCAGTCTTCACAGCACTCATAGTGACATAATTCGTGATTCCTAAACTTCTGTGTTGCTATTTTTCAATCTCTTTTCTTCCTTATTCTTTCTGAACACCTGCATCCTTAATGCATGTGACCAGTAATGAGTAATCCAGTCCTTTTCTCTCATCTGTGCATGCTTGGAATTTTTGCATTGGCATGCACTTTCCAGGTAGATATCCTTTCTTTCCTCTTCTTATCCATGTACATTATGTCTTTACGCTCTTTACTTCTCACACTAGGCACATCTACTTTTGCTTTCTTGCTTTTCTTGCTGTTACACTGCAGCCCTTCTTGTCATCCTGACTTTTAACCCTTTTACTTGCATGTTAATTATTTTAAGGTAGGGGGTTTTCCCCTCTTTCACAGTAATGCAGTTCTGTTTTATTCCTCAGTAGTTCTCCCAGGCCTGAGAAAAGACGTAGTCTGTTCCTGCACAGATGATGATTTTCTTGTATTCTCCTTCCCAAATGCATTCAGTAAATTTATAAAAGATGGGACTAGAAATTACTCAAATTAGCCTTGTGTTTTAGCAGTATGGGAAAACTGAAGCACTGAATCTACTCAGTGGCACTTGGGATGATTTCTCATTCATTGTTGTGACTACTTGAATTACGGAGGAATTTGATTGCAATTGTACGAATATTAATGCACTAGCTAAAGGAATATAATGCCAATCTTTTCTTGCACCAGTCTCTCTGTGAAAGTTCACCTTCTCAAGAGTGTTGTTACATAGTTTTGCTTTGTTTTCTTTTTACTTCCAGTATTTGAGTAGATACTCTTCACCTTGATTCTGTTGGTGTTTTTAAAGTGAAATTAAAATGCTCCTCTTGGGTTCATTTGCTAACCCTTTTTGAAAGAGCTGTGAAACTTAACAGCATTTGTAGACCATATTTTAAATAAAATAAAGGTTGATACAGTTGATTGAAGTCGTGGATGGGCATATTATTAGTTATCATGATGGTTTCAGATTATACATAACATAACACTTCTATAATGCTTTATAGTATTAAAATAAAGAATACTGTTCATTGGTGCCACAGTACTTCTACAGAGGGATAGAACCTCAAATTCCCAAATATTTGAAGAGTTTTGAATACTTAGAATATTTTCTTGTCATAGCAATCCATTAGATTGATAAGAGAGAAGAAGTGATTACTTGCATTTATTTAGGATGTCACTGCCTGACTAAAAGCATATTTAAAATCCTTGCTAACCCTGCCTTGTCACAAGAGAAATGTCAGATTACTTGAAGATGCTGAAAATGAATCAATAACAAGTAATGCAGGAAATTAATTATAAGCCATTGCTGCATGCTTTACTCTGTTTTGAAATGGTGTGTTTGTGTTGTTTTTGTGTATTGCTTACTTATGTTTAGAGTAGATATTGTAAAAGCAAACAAAAAAACTAAAAAAAAACCCTAATAGGTTGTGCTGTGGAGGTGACAGCAGTAACAGTTCCTGCATTGTCACTAGATAGTAGAAGTGCATGGTGTGATCACATGCTTATGAGCCTGAATGTAGGCACTCATGTAAACATAAGACAGCCCAAATTTTCAGGTTTACCTAGCTTTAATTTCCCTGATTGTGTTGTGCCCTCTGTATGTGTGTTTGTAGTCTTGCATGTGGCAACAGCAGTATATTTCATTCATTTCTGACAGAATTCCAGCATGAATTATTCTTGTCTTAAAAGGGACAGGTGTGCCAAGCAAAAGTTAATACTAAACGTTTTCATAACATAATTTGAATTTATGTGGAAACAACTCCTTTGTCTCTGTGTATTAATTTATGAAAGTACTCCACTGGATAAACCAGTATTAAAAAGATAGGTAGGAAGTCTGTGTGTTTAATTTCCTGGTACACATGCACATACACACATGTAAAATTATCTGCTAATTCCATGTGCTACTAATATTTTACTGAACTAGCCCACTAATAACTGCTTCTAGGGTTGTAGGTTTAACTTGCTGCATGCTGGGATTTTCTGTGGAACAGCTGATTTCTCTCACTTTTAATGCAATGATTTGTGATTCCGTTTCTTGTCTTTCCTGTCTGTCTGACTCTGATGTTTGTGCTTTCCAATTCACAGGCATGCAGTATGGTGGATATGTTAATAATCAAGCTAGCTCTGCACCAGCTCCCTTGTCATCAAGTTCAGATGATGAGGAAGAGGATGAGGAGGATGAGGAAGCAGGTTGGCTTTAGCTTTACACCAGTATCTTGTTCTCTTCCTACTCAAGGTTTTCCCCATATTTCCATCCCCTGAAACTTTTTATTTCTTTAAGACAAAGCATCACCCTGACTCTTCAGCTTGAGATTTCCCAGCTGTTACTAGTATAGTAAACAAAAAGGATTTCAGTAGTGACCAACAAATAGGTCCTTTTTTTTTTGTCATGTTAATATCACAGATGGTTTATGGAGCTAACAGAGTAATATTTACAACTTGCAAGACCCCCATATTTTTAGTGTTTTGATTTGCAGTGAGTTTTAACTGAAGATAACTACCAGTAGAACTTACACTGATAATTGTTCAGGTTAAGCTACCAGATGCCATTTGTATCATTACATTAAACAGTGTTTACCTTGTTTCTCATTTTGTGCATAAGGAACTCATACAATTAAGGTAGTAAACATTGAGAGGTTCTAGGTGTGCTTTTTAGGACAGCAAATTAATCAGTGCTGATTTTTTTCTCCTTCTAAAGGTGTATGTCTCAATGGTCAGGCTCACAGGTTCAGTGTTAATCTGCTTGCTTTGTAGAAAACTTAAGAAGTTTATTGATTTTACTTTTTTTTTTAATTGGTTGAGGTGTTACATACTTGGTTGCATTTTTCCTGTTTTGTCAGAATGATCTGGATTTGTGAGTTTAATGTTTCTCACCAGTTTAGTTTCTTCAATTTTGGTAACCTTTTCTTTTGGAACTTGAAGAAGTCTTTACTGGCTGCATGAGTGGTACCAGTATAAAAAGCTTTTTCGAGATAAACCTGAGACTACTACTCTTGTTGATAGATGGAAGTAGCAGCACATACCTTGTACTGCTGGCTTTTAGTATTGATTTGGAATAGGAAACTATTGTAGCTTTTTCTTTAATTTTATGATACGTGTCGTCAGAAAAAAAACCCAAAACCAGTTTTATTAAAATAATGAAATCATCACCTAGAATACTGTGAAAATAGTGTAGTGTACTCATAATGATACTGTGAAGAGTGGAACAAACCAATGATGACATTGAGTTGTAATTAAGAACAGTGTGTTGGGTTTGCATGCCAAGGTTTCTGTCCAAATGATGTTGATTGGGTTTTTTATCACTTGTAACATTTTTCTGCTTACTTTGTTCCCTAAACAAAGTTTCATACTCCCTACCATCATTCTTTCTCAGGTTCTGTACTTTACTAAAACCTGTAGCCTTGCATTTAAATTCATGTTACGGAAAAGAGTGAAAGGACGCCCAGGTTCCATATGGAAGCGATCTCATTAATAAGCACATACTGTTTTATGCCCTGTCAGCAAGAGCTCATGCAAATCCTTAACAAATTTTCAGTAGACAAATTTCTGGCTCAGACTGTCACAGTGGTTTTATGAAGAATAAGTGCTGGAAATCTAGTTGCTTGTGTTTGTGTAACTTCTCAACTGTTTTGTTGACCTAAAAAGAGTATATTTTCACTTTTCTGTAGTAAGCCTTAGCAAAGGTTTAAAAGCCTTAATCCTGATCAGGGTAAAAAAGTCATGAATCCTGATTCCTTCAGCTTCTAGAACAGAGAAGAAAATCTTGCAATTATGTTTTTTAGTAACCTCTAAGATTTAAAAAAAATGTGAAAACTATACTGTCAGGATGGTGCCATGTATTTCTGTGTCCCAAATGTCAGTGATGTTAGGTTTTCATATGCAGAGTCTCTTCACTTGGAAGTCTCAAATGTTCCACCATTGAAGTTCTCCCTTGAAATACTTTCAGCTTTGCAATGGGATGTGTGGTCATGATTGATCCTTCCAAGTAGAACAGTATCAGTGAATCTTTTCAGTCTTTTCTGCCACAAAAATTATATATACAATTTTCTTTTTTTTTTCTTAATTCTTAAATAGACACTTTTTTCTATCACACTTCATGGCTTGGTGTGTTTTAAAGGGGTGATACCTTTAATCTTCTTGGCTCTTTTTTCATTGGAAATAAATGTGCGTGAAATCGCATTGGCAGAGATGTTTTAAAATAATTCTTTGTTTGCCGGATATTTTAAAATAAGATGTTCAAGATCTGTGCACAGGTTGAACTGAAAACTAAACAATTGCATCTTCAGTCCTAACAGCTATGTCTGTGCTCATTGTGCTTTTTTATATCTCCCTAGTTAACTTTTGGTACTTATTTTTGCATAGTTGCTTTAGGTACTACATAATAGCCACTTTAGGCTGAGCCAAGAGTAATTGTTTATACCAGCTGAAGTTCAGACTCTTGTCAATGATAATGGAAAGTAGAATCTTTAGACTGAGAAGAAAGCTAGCTGTGAATTAGAATGGTACAGAATGGAGGGAAGAATTAAATCCTTGTCAGTTTGGCTTGAAGGTGGATAATCACTCTGAAGATGATGGGAATCTTCTGTTGCCTGCACTTGTGAAGAAGGTTGTGAATGGACTGTTTTTAAAATGTGCATGGCCTCAGTTGATAGAGTCCAGAAAGAACTTTTGGTTTAATAGAAAAATATTTTTTATTTCAAGAAACAACTTTTTTCATTGTTGTTGTCTTTTTACTATTGATCTCTCTTGCTGTTTGTTGGGCATGTGCTTGTTTGTTTCTGGTATCTTGCTGATTATATTTTTTCCCTCTCCTCTTTACAATGGTAATAGTTTTCAAGTCTTAGGGCTGAAGTGGTGGGGTTTTTTCCCAGGATCTTTCTTGAGAGTTTCTTGTCAAAGGTTTTAGAAAAAAAAAATCTCAGTCTTCTATTTATCAAAAGTTTGCTATTTCTGATACCCCTAAAGTTAAACTATTTTCCTCCCCCAGCACTTGATAGTTCCTCTACTACAAGCAGTGCCTCTCCTGTTCTGAACAATTATGATGCTCTGGAAGGAGGTGGCTATCCAGGTAAGCAGTTTCTTTTGAATTATTTATTCCAGTACATATATGTCATTTTTTGTTGTTTCTGGTCTTGTTTGTTGTTAATTAACAAGTAGATGAAGGGCAGTGCCTATGAAAGGAACAGGGGAAATCATCAGAGGAAACATACGTGTCTTTTAAAATAATTTCTCACAGTTTTAACACTGAAGTTCATATAAACATTTTAATATAACTTCCCTGAATCATAAGTGATACTTTCCATTGTAGTATTGAGGGTAGTGCTGAAAATCTGCTAAGTGTGAAAGCAGCATCTTTTTTCTAGATTATACTGTATGCTTGATAGTGTTGTTGACATTAGGAGCTGATAATAGTTGCTGACACATTTCAGAAGTTTTGGGAGACCAACAATGCCAGCTTGCAGGGATGCTTGGATCAGGTTACTGTCTTTTACTTTTCTTCATTTAAAGAAAATGGCTGCTGTTTTGGTTACTCTTAGCTCTAAAATTATCAGGACTGTCAGGTTTGTTCTAAATGAACCTACTGGCTGACTAGCTTGGTCTTGAAATCTGTAGAGCTGCCATATTGAGAGCAAGAGGGAAAGGTGCTATTTTTTAGCCACTATTTTAAATGAATAATTGGATTAAATTGGAGGGCCTACCCCCTCCTGGCTCCTTTGCCTTGTTCTGGCCCCTGGGAGTGTCACAGTAGTTTGCCATGGTTTGATGAGTTCCTGATTAAAGTGAGATCTCTCTCAGTTTGAAAGCTGGTATTGTTATCCATGTAGAGTCTAGCAGGACTACAGATTCTGTACCCTCTGGCCTAATAACTAACCATTTTGGTTCTGCTGAAATCATATCCTAAAAATAACTTGTTCCTTTTTTTTTTTTAAAGATAAACAGTCAACATCAAGTTTCTTAAATCTGTTGCAGTTTTTTTTATTGATTTATTGGGATTTTTTCCTTGTGGAGTGTTCATGACAAACAGTTTCTTGGCAGTTGGTTTCTTGAGTGCTTTGTTCCTTTGCTTGCACTGTTCCTAGTTCACCAAGCTTAAATTCTTCTGAAACTTAACTCATATCTGTAGACATTTCGAAAGAGTACTTTGATCTGTTTATAGCTGTTAAGTTCACTGTGGATTACTTTCAGTTTGACCCTGAAAAATAGCAGAACTAAGCTGTGCTGCAGGCATATACAAGAGAAACTTGTATCAGGTTAAAAACTTCAAAAGAGACCATGCTTTATTTCTCCTCTACCATTTATGAATACTGTCCAAACATAAGGCTGAGCCAATGGAACTGTTCTCTAACTCTAGGCACAGCTTGTCATGAAGTTATCGTAGAATCATAGAATGATTCTAGTCATGCTATGGCAGTTTTCAGAAGTGGAGGGGAGACTAAGCATGAATGGTCTTGTTTGTGGTTTATATCAAATGTATATATTGGAGTAAAATGTGGTTCTATTTTTATTCCATTCAAAAGATTTTTTTTTCAAATTGCCTCTTTTTGTAAAGTAACATTTTGTTGGTAGTAACACAGGTCCCTGTCATCTTCCATACACACTTTGTCAAAATTCTTGAAGTAATCTTTTTTTTTAATTCCTTTTTTCAGTGCAGAAAAATAACTTGATGGATAATGAAAAAAACTTACAAATGGCAATGTTTTGAAGCATTTAGGAGTTTACATTTAAATTAAGAAGGAAATAATAAGCATATTCAATACCTGTGGTATTTCTTTTGTCTTTCCAGAGACACGTTCTGTGACTAGCAGCCCAGTTCCCTCTCCATCAGTCCTGCAAACATCAAAAGCTTCTAAGCCCTTTGGTTATGGATATCCAGCACTGCAGCCAGGCTACCAAAATGCAACACCACCTACTCCTGTGCAGCCCAGTAATCCAGGACACCATTCTGGTTTTCAGCACTATGCACAGGCTTGTATTTTTCATTTTAAAATTATTTCATGAAGTAAATTCCTAGGAAAACCCTTTTCTGTGTGATATATTTCCCATTAATTTTCATATTTTTATAATTTCTGAGACAATAAACATTAGGTATAATATTGATGTCATAGCTCTGGTTCTAAACTTATTGGAAGGCTTTTGATGGAAAGTTTTAAGTGTGCCTCCGAGTAGTTAGGCTTAACAAGTTTGCTTCACCAGTTCTTAGCAAACTCCACAGTTAAGATTTGATGTTTGAAAGAGCTGAAGTTTATTGATAGGAAACAATGAGGAAGCATAAGGAAGTACTTGATCAGCATATATCAGGACATTGCTATGGGCTGTCATCTCAAGCATTAAATGACCTTATGAGGAAGGCATGGCATAGGGTCCAGATAAAAGAGCTCTGTAGAGCTTGTGCTGGCTGTGTGTAGTGGAGCAGGCTGCCTACATCTGCTCTGTTTTCCTCATGAAGACAGCTCCAAACACCCAAGAAATTGTGTACAATCATCTGATTCCTGTTGTGCACATGAATCCCCTGAGAACAGTGGCAGAAAAAGAGCCAGGTACTGAGGCAAGACACAAATGCTGAAGAATTGCAGAGAAATGTATGTGTGAAGGGGTCTAGAAAAAGAAACATCCTGATACACAAATCCTGCTCTCTGACGTAAGGGCCAGCTGGCAAAGACAGTGAAACTGCTGTGGTAGGTGATCAGAATTCCTTACTGCATATAACATCCAGTAAGGCTCTCACTGTCACAGGCATAATGTAAAATGTGACTTGGAAGAAATGTTTCATTTAATTTTTTTCAATTGAAAGGGTTGACTTTATCTTTACTGTAATGTGAGATGAAGTTAGGCTCTTTCAGTAGCACACAGTAAAAGAACAGCAGTTGCTTCAAGTGAATTCAAGTTGGACATATGAGGAGAAAATATTTCAGGATGGGAGTGGGGAAGCCCTAAAACAGATTGTGCTGTGAAATTGTCAATGCTTAGATATTTTGAAAACTTAGCTGGATGAATCTGTATGAGCAACCTAAACTAACTTTTAAGTTAACCTTGCTTGAGCAAGCGGTTAGACTACTAGACCTTAAAGGTGCCTTCCAACCTAACCTCTTCTCCTCTTCTATGGTGTTTTGTTTTAATTCTCAAATATTTAAAGTCAGTGTCTGTAACTTGGAAAAGCTGATTGTAACAAAATTTAAATTGCAGAGCAGAGTGGGAGAGAAATTGTGTCAGCATTTTTAGTAACTTGTTTTCTTATGCCTGAAGAGATGAAAGGATTATGTGTGACTTCCAGTGTTGATTTGCATAAAGAATTTGAATTTTGTCCTATGATCCACATTTGGAAGGTCACATTTGTTGCATCACATTTGTTGTAGCATTTTTAAATTTCTACAGTACAACACTTCTTTTGTTTGTTTGGGTTTGTTACTAATTGCTGCTGTATCTTTTTAAAATATGTGTCTGGATGGGAGGGCACTACAAGAAGATTGAAGATTGTTATTTAAATATGATTGTGTGTTTACCTGTTTGTCATGCTCTTAACTTTACAGCAATATCCAGGTGTGAACCAGCTGTCCTCTTCCTTAGGAGGATTAAGTCTACAGCATTCTCAGCAGCCAGAAAGCTTGAGACCAGTAAACCTTACACACGATAGAAATATTTTACCGGTGTCTTCAGTTCCAGCACCCGTGCCTAACTTGAATTCTGATCTTAGGAAATTAAACTGCAGTCCAGAGTAAGTTTACTAGTTTATTGTGTCTAAGACAGTGTCTTATATTTTTTAGTGGGCAATAATTATTTAAAATTCCAAAAAGGGCCTCAGCTGACTCCTAACTTAGAATCTTAGTGATGAAAAATAAATAAAAAACCCCTTTTAACTGAAAATAAGTTTATCCTCTGAATCATTACACAGATATTGTAACTGTCCTACCATCAGATTATATGCAGTGAGTGTAGCTAGTTTCTTAGTATTTTAATAATTTTTCCATATCTTCACATTTTTATCCATTTAAAAAAAGTATTTTAATAAACACCTTAATATTACACAATATGTTTCATAGAATATTTTGCAATATTGCATAGGATTTTTTCTACAAAAGTATTATGATTATGCCTGAATACATTTAATAATTTATGAGTATATTTTACTATGATAATTCTGCAATCAGGTATCCTTTTACCTCTAATTAACATTAAGTAGTATTGTCAACTATCCCAAGTCAAGTGCAGCTAAGTACAGTGGAAAGTGCTTTTCCCCAAAGATTTTATTTGTAATTCCAAAATAACTATTCTTCATTGCCTCAAAGTGACTCAGCATCCTTATTCCTGTATTTCTGGTCCCACCAGAAAACAGAAATCAGAAAACTGAAGGCCTGGAAATGATTCTTACATGTGGAACACTTTTCATAGCACTATTTGTGCATTGGGCTTCTGTAGTGTCCCTTAATGTTACACAGAACAAAAGGTTTTGACTCTCAGTATTTGGGATTCTTTTCAACTGTTTTCTTATATAAATATGACATTCTGAGTACTAGGTAAATACTCTCTTCTTCACTGGAAAAATTATTATAATGAACAGAAAAAGACATAGCTTTGATTGAGTGTTGTATCTAAAACAGTTCTGTCTCTTAATTGCAAGTTGGTTTTGGTATACTTGCATTGCTGAACTATTGCAGTGGAATATTTTTTTGTTTGTTTCTTTACAAAGCCTTTTTAAAAATCTTTCTGCATTTTTTTAATTAAATCATCTTTGTAAAACATGGGATTTCTTAAATTTCTAAGTTCTTTAAAATCAGGTGTTAACACAATGTTTTCAATATCTTTTAAAATTTCATTTTTAACATTATGTTTCTCTTTGCTTTCAGCTCATTTCGATGTACACTGACAAATATTCCACAGACACAGGCTTTGTTAAACAAAGCTAAACTTCCTTTGGGTTTGTTGCTGCATCCCTTCAGGGACCTGACGGTAAAGTACCTTATTTTTTTGTGTGTATGTTTGTTTTATATATGCATTTGTTCTATTTTCATTCAAACAATTAAATAGAATGAACTCTAAGTCCTAACAGAAGTACAAAAAGTACTTTAACAGTACTTTTAAGAAGTACTTTAAGAGAAGTAAAAAAAAAAAAATTATCTGTGACTTAGAGAGGAGGAGAGCAAAAAAAGCCTTGAAATTGCTACTTCATTGGAATGCATGAGGGAGAAGCCTTTCAAGTTGTTTTTTTTTTGTTGTTGTTGTTGGAAGTCTTTGTTTGCCTGTGGTTCTCCAAAGAGTTGCCAGTCTGTGTGTTGGGCTCACAACTGTCAGATACATCTTGAAAAGGTGTTCGCAGAGCTCACCTGAGGAGTGGTGCTCAGCTTGAATGTGTGACTGGCCTGATACTTGCTATCAGTAGAACATAAACAAAATATAAGATTGAAGCTATATTTATAAACTTCATTCATTCATTCATTCATGTTAAGCAACTCCTCTCAATGTAATTTATTAGCATTTATGTAAAAATGTGAGTAACTGTCTGGTACAACTTATTTTTATTAGTTGTATGTTCTTTGTGTAAGATTTGCTGTCCATCATATTTCTTATAGAGCCACTCAAAAGTTGTCCTTTCATAATTCCTTTTGCCATAGTAGGTGTAATTTAAAGTAGTTTCATTTGAGATCTTACTACATCTTTGATTTTGAGGCTATATTAAGACAGTAATTAAGTGTTAAATTTTTTTGGTTTTAGGAGGAGATTATTTTTAGTAGACATCATAATTACTCTATGAAATTGAACTAAACAGCTAAAAGGAAGGATGATAGAAAATGAAGTTTCACAAAGCTTTTATGAACTGTAATGCACAGAGGTGATTTCCATAAAGTGTATTGCATACCTTTGTGACAGCTTTTCTTTGTTTCCTTTTTAGCAATTGCCAGTAATAACATCAAGCACAATAGTGAGATGCAGATCCTGCAGGACTTATATCAACCCTTTTGTTTCTTTCATTGATCAGAGGCGGTGGAAATGCAACCTGTGCTATAGAGTTAATGATGGTAAGTGACTGCAGCAGGAGATGCTTGCATTTATAGAATGTCTTTCAAGTATTTGCATTGTATCAGTCCATGGAAAATTTTAGATTAAAACATAAACTACAGTGACAATGTCCTTATGATCCAGAGATTTTGAAAAGGATCTTAAGGCAGATGTGTTCTGCTTTTTCTTGAAGCAAAAGATTGTTTTGCAATCTTTGTGGACATGAAGAAAATGTATTCATAATATGCTGATTCCTTGTCTAATGAAGTCAGCTAATCCCACTGACTGCTGTTGCAAAATGCAGATGGAAACATGATGACAGCTACAATCCAGGCCACAGGTTATGAGAAACAGTACAGATTGCTGCTTTGTTGTGAAATGCTCTGCTTGCATTGCTGTTTTATAGTTGGGGATCTGTTGTTGTTTAAAATACATAAAATTTCTTTCTAATTACTGAACTTTGATGTTAAAGATATGCTTGAGATATTTGAAATGTTCCTTTTTCATGTATCCTTAATGTAAATTGTTTGCTATTGCAATAATTGAAGTGTGTCCACATTACTTTGCATTTAGCTGCAATGATTTTTATTTTCTGACAAAAATATAATCTGTATTTGGGGGTGATTTTTTTTAATAGTTCCTGAAGAATTTATGTATAATCCTCTGACACGGTCTTATGGAGAGCCTCACAAGCGGCCAGAGGTGCAAAATTCTACAGTGGAATTCATTGCTTCTTCAGACTATATGGTAAGAAAAAGTTTTCATAGTAACTTCAACAGCAGTTGCATATTAATATGATAGTGCTTGAAATTAATGTTTCATATTGATCCAGTGGTTTGTATTAATTTACAATTAATACACACCACTGGAAGCTTCTCTTAATCCCAAGGAATAGTTAAATTCGTGTTTTGAGTTTTGGCCAATGTAAACAGTCAGAAGCTTTTGAGTTAAAAGTTATTGAATGTGTGTTGTCATTCAGTGTAGTTTAACGTGGCACAGTCAGATTTGAATCCAATGCAGTGTGATTTCTGCCTTTGACCCTCATTTTGAGGATATTTTGAAAGACCAGTAATAGAATAATAAGCAAATTAATTCAGCTTCAAATTTCCAGTTAGTAATTGTGAAGAAATGGTTCTTATTAGGAGTCAGCTTACAAGTGCTGGGATGGTGGTCTTGTCTGCCTGGGAAAATGCCTACTTCATAATGACATTTTTAGCAGCAGCAAAAATAAATTGTTCTCTTGTCTTTGAATTGAAACGTTGTGGCAGACATTTTACAGTGAATAAACAGCTTGATACATAATTGGGGGAAGGGTGTAGGTAGAAGGCTTTAACCCTGTTTAATGGATCACATTGTCCATGTACTGAAAGAACAATGGAATTTAAAAGATGGAAGTTGGTATCTTTGATGTTTGAAATGACAGTTGGAAGGAGGGACTGAAATAGCCTTTTTTCCCCCTGAAATATAACATTTTATGTTTATTACAAAGGACAGTTATTAACCATTGGGGGTTGTGGTTAAGTCTATCTGCATATTGCTTAGAAAATTACCCTTATTGCATAATGTGTACCTTGCATTTTTCTAAGTATTTCCTTTTCCTACTTCCCTTTCTAATGACTAATCACTTTTAACATTTTTTTGAATATGATTTTTGAGTGGTTTTATTTTTTTTTGCTTTGTAGCTTCGTCCTCCTCAGCCTGCGGTATATTTATTTGTTTTAGATGTGTCTCATAATGCAGTGGAGGCTGGATATTTGACAATACTCTGCCAGTCATTGCTGGAAAACCTAGACAAGTAAGAGTATAAATAACCTTATCAAATCAGCTAACAAGTTGTTATGAAAAATTGTAACTGAAAATTTTGAAGGAAATTTCAAAGTGTCTAAACATTCTGTCCCCAAAGGGCAGGAGTTCCATTGCCTGGAATTCTTTCCCTTCGTGTGTATCTGCATATAATTTAATTATTTATCTGTAAGGAGTATTTAGCTGAAACTTCTAAAAACATGTTGATTGTACAAAGATTTTAAAATTTCATTCTTCCCCCTTGCCAAGACCAACAAAAATAATAAATTACAGCAGTTAAATTATCTGGGTTTTGTGCTGAGAGGTCTGAGGGGCTGCATTGTAGCCACGAGAGTAAGACTGCCTGGGTGAATTGTGTTGTCAGTTTGATTTTTTTAGATCAGTTACCCTGTGCCAATTTCTGTGGTTTTATTTTTGCACTGGGACAGCATGTATGGGAATGTTCCTGGTGCATTTTGAGTGAGGGTTAATGAGCTTCACTGTGCTCATGCCTTTTGACAACTAATTCTGTGGAGGCCTTGCCTTGAAAAGTCCTTTCTACAAGTTTTTCTTGGTGAACTTGGTTTTCTCATGAAGAAGCCAACATATACGCTAAAAATCTTTGCTTCCATTTTTTGGTTCAGTCTTTCTTTGTTCAGTTTTTTATGGCTATTTTATTCAACAGAATCTCAGAAACATGCTTAATTATTTTAGGAAAATTCATAAAATCCCATGCTAAGTCCACAGGAGAATCAATGCATCCACCTCATTTATAAGCTCAGATGGTAACAACAATATTTGCCTCTATTGCTCTTGGTCACTGTCATGGTTTTCAGCACTTCATGATGTTTTTTATATTTTACTTGAGAAATCCCCTGTAGTCTTTAATTTTGTCTTATGCCATACAGTGAAATATGGTCCACATAAGAAATAAGTATGTTGCTTTGTAGAGACATTGGATTTTGGTTTAGAGCTGTAAGTACTCTGTAACTACATTAATAAATGGGGGTTCTGAATCAGGCAAGGGCAGAATGCACTGTTTTCTATTAAGGAGCTCAGAAGGCTGCCTTCTTTCATGTGTCAGTCTAATCTTTAAATGAGTTTATTAAGCTCTCTTGTGGAACAAAGCATCAATGTATTAGTGAGTGCTTATCTGTAACACTTGGTCTTGCAAACTGTATAATTACCCCAGCTTTTCAGAAAATGTTGAGGAGGTGTTGATTGTATTTGTGTTTTAGATCTCCCTTCTTATGTTCTCCCTTCACTTCTTTGCACATGAGCTGCATTTCTTCTAACATCAGCAGGAGCCCTGTGTATCTGTATGTCTTGAGAGAGAGATTTAGGGCTTAATAGTTTATATTTTAATGCTTCAGGCTGCCTGGAGATTCAAGAACAAGAATAGGATTCATAACATTTGACAGCACTGTTCAGTTTTACAACTTACAAGAAGGTTTATCACAGCCTCAGATGCTGATTGTCTCAGATATTGATGGTAAGTAAAAAGAAAATGGATGCTGAATTTTTGAGAACCTATTATTTTTTTCTTTTCCCCAGAACAAAGGTTAGAATCTCTCAATTATTTGGTATTAGGTCAATTTTATTGAATGAGACTATTTTTTTGAAAAATAGTCTTGCACCAACTACAGAGTAGGTGATGTTTAAAATGTGAAATTCAATAGTTAATTTTGCTTTGAATCAGACAAGCTTTGTATGGACTGTATTACTCTAACACACTTTCATCTGTGTATAATTTACTTACCTGCAAGGAATATTTAGCTGTAACACACATTAGCGAAGTAGACTGTTTCATGGTGTTTGTAGCACTGGGCAAGGAAATGTTTTGTTCTATTTTAGTGTTATTTTTTCTGTAATAATTATTTTTTTCTGTTCTCTCCACAGATATTTTCTTACCTACACCAGATAGTTTACTTGTAAATCTCCATGAAAGCAAAGAGGTATGATTGCTCAAAATACATCATTAAATTTAAGGTGTTAAATATTCAAAACAGAGGTTCCTGTTAAACTTTGAATTCAAACTTAATCTTTATAATATGTAATTCCAATGCTAATTTTTCATTATGGAGATGTTTCATTGATACATCATAGCTTTTAAAATTACAACTTTGTTTTCCTTGGTGTGTTAAAATAGAACTGAAATAGTTGGTACCGATTCTGCTACTTAGTTGTGGCAGTACAGCCTTTTGGAAACAACAGAAAATCTCAAGCTTGCAGAATCTCCTAAAAGACCTTTCAATCTGTTCTGCAGCTGATAAAAGATCTGTTGAATGCGTTACCAAACATGTTCACCAATACAAGAGAGACACACAGTGCGCTGGGCCCTGCTCTTCAGGCTGCATTTAAGCTGATGTCTCCAACGGGTGGTCGGATCTCTGTGTTTCAAACTCAGTTACCAAGTTTGGGAGCAGGGCTACTGCATTCCAGAGAGGATCCCAATCAAAGGTCAAGCACAAAGGTAAAAAACTTCCCTTACTGTTAATTTCAAAAGACTGGGGATTGGCCATCTCTTTCTGACTTGCATAGTTCTGCAGATCAATTGCTTCATCTTCATTTATAGCAATTAACTAAATTTTAATTATGTTGATGTTTATGCATTTAAGATCCCTACTTTATACATGTATGTGTGGCATGGTTTTGAAGTGCGTGAGCTCTCTTTGGATTTTGGTCCATAATTTTTCTTGGCAAGCAAAAGAAGCTGCAAATATTTGTGACTCAGTTACTCAGATGCTGCTGAATAGTATGTCTTTCAGTCCATGAAGTCTAAAAAGCATGATTGTTGTCATAACTCCTCCCTGTATGATTTATTTACTAAAGGTGGTCCAGCATCTTGGTCCAGCAACAGATTTTTATAAGAAGTTGGCACTGGACTGCTCTGGCCAGCAGACTGCTGTGGATTTATTTCTCTTAAGTTCACAATATTCTGATCTAGCTTCTCTTGGTAAGGAGTACATGATTCCCTCTTTCTGCACTGTTGTCTCTCTTTAGAAGCACGGGCTACCTCAGGAATTCTAAAGTCATGTAAATATTTTAGCACTTCTGTAATTGCAGCTCATGTTACAAAGGAATTGACCTTGAAGTTGATGGAAGTATAGAACAGAAATATTACATTGGTGGTATCAGACAGTTTATTCTAAGGTTTTAAAGTTTTAAATGAGAAGTATTCTCCTGCTCAAGAACAGGAAACAGAAAGGTGGCAAGGATTAAATGAAGTTTAATTATAGGAGTAGAACAGAGTTTCATCCTTTGATAATTATCCAGTATTTGTCTCTGTACAGACACTTAATTTTACCTCTACACCATTAGCTATTTCTGCAAGCACTTCAATCTTAGCTGCGAAATGTAGGATGCTTATTGAGCTTGGTGTATAATGAGGTCATTATGTGTTGGGGTGATTCATTTCTATCCTCACTTGCCTGGGTCTGGGACAGTTCTCACTGTCTTTCTGATGTGGGTGATACTGAGAAGATGCAGGTTTATGTTACTTGTGGAAGTCTGGACACAATTTTTATGTCCTGATTTCATGTTACAGTTTTACTTCTTAACTGCATCTTTCCTTCCTTCACAGCTTGCATGTCCAAATATTCTGCTGGATGCATCTATTACTATCCATCTTTCCATCGTAGCCATAATCCTGCTCAGGCTGAAAAGTTGCAAAAGGACCTGAAAAGATACCTTACAAGAAAGATTGGATTTGAAGCAGTTATGCGCATAAGATGTACAAAAGGTGTGTCTTAAATACTGATTCCTATGGAACCGTTGGTGTAAATGTGTTAGCAATCATTCTGAATGTGCTTAGTCTTTAGCAACATTAAATTCAGTGTTATTTTTCTTTCTTTGAAGAGTAAAAGAGTTACCTTCTTTATGTTAAGTTAGCTTTTGGTGTTTGATTTTTTTTTGTTTTTTTAGTTGATAGTACCATCTCTCAATAAGTTGATATGTGTAGTGTAAGAGCATCATTCACTTTGGAGTGTTCAGAATTGAACGTGAGCTCTACAGGATCATGCTGAAATGTCTAATGATTCATGTAATTGGTTATACATGATAGAATTTTTACTCTTTTCTTCAACCTTAGCTTGAGGGCTGGGGTTTTAATTATTGGTGAGAGTTTTCCATGCTGTTTTAACCTCACTCTGAATATTTAATCTGATTCTAGGTCTTTCAATACACACTTTCCATGGGAATTTTTTTGTACGATCTACTGATTTACTGTCCCTTGCCAATGTCAATCCTGATGCTGGATTTGCAGTGCAAATGTCTATAGAGGAAAGTCTGACTGACACATCTTTGGTTTGTTTTCAAACAGCTCTTTTGTATACTTCCAGTAAAGGTAAATAAATTCAAATTAATTGGTCACTAGGGTTTTTGTTTCTTTTTATGATGTAATGCTTGTAAAGTTAGTTCCACAGTCTTTTGTTGTGTTCTATACACTAAAAGAATCTTGTCAGAGCTAGTAAGCCTACTTGACAGTTAATCACATAATGAAAATCCTTATAAACACTGTTTTAAAGTGAAAATTTCATCTGCATTTGACATAGTGCTGATTCAGCAAGACTTTTGTACTTAAAAGTCTGGCCATTGTTACAAGCAGTAACATGTTTGGCAGGCACTTTGTCCAAACATACAGACCTGTGATGGATTGGATCAAGCTGCAATTACTACATTGGATGAGCATAAAGACTAGCAGCTAATTTCTATGGTAGAAGATGCCACAAAATTTTAGGATGGATGTCAGTGTACTTCATTTGTAGGATCAAAGACACTTACTGTAGATTCACTAGTTTGTGTTATCAATTTGTGCTGCTTCAGAGTAGAATTTTAACAGGTTGAGTCAGGGAGACAGTATTGTATTGCAGCAATTTCTTGACTGGTATGTTTTCTAGAATGGGTACATCTTAAATGGGAGGAGATGCTGTAATGACTGAATTTGTTTACTTCTACCAGGAGAGGATGCAAAATGATTTCCACTGATTTCTCTTAGGTGAGCGTCGAATTCGAGTGCACACACTTTGCTTGCCCGTAGTGAGTTCCCTGTCTGATGTGTATGCAGGAGCAGATGTACAGGCAGTTGTGTGCCTCTTAGCAAACATGGGTGAGTACAGACCAGGAAGATTCACATGTTTTTTGGCAAGTTTCTAATTTTGCCAGCCATTTAAATGAAGTAGTGAAGCCTGGATATTATTAAAAAGGGTTGGAGTGCAACACGCTGAAACCTGTGTGTGCAAAAGATGACAAAACCAAATTCATACTGAAATACTCCTTGTTCTGAATATTAGTTTGACTTCAGTCTTTTAAAAAGAGCCTTCTTACTTTGTTCTCTGGAAGTTAGTAAAGGACAAAGAATCATAACACACTTGGATCAAAATTCTCATTTTTGAATCATCATTATCATTGTTGTTCAATCAGACTTAGGCATTCTAGGATTACTTAAGAAACAGGGATTCAGTTTAGTGAGTTGCTGGAGACTAAAAGAGAATTTCTGACAGCAGTGTATCTGAGGTATTGGTTTTATATCCTTCTGTTGTTGCAGGGCTGAGGATTCTTACTTATCCCTTAATTGTGGGTCATAAGTCGTAGACTGATCTCTCCTGTTAAATGTGTATGACTGTGAAGCATTTTAACATGTTCTATTTTGTATATTAATATTGAAATCAGTTAGAAGAAGTAAATTGTAATTCTGTGTCTTCTGGGATTGGAACTAGATGATCTTTAGTGTCCCTTCCAACCCAAACCATTCTGTGATCTCTTAAATGCACATTCAGTCCAGCAGGTGGCTTCCTCCAACCAAAGGATTTGCAGCCTTTGCTCAGCAGAGAAAAATGAAGCAGCATTTATAGTAATCACTATTATGTCACTGAAATAATGGAAGAAATTTCTTATGTGAGGGGGGAAAAAATCCAAATTAATTGCTGCAGATCTTATCTTGGTGGTTGGGCAACAGTATTTCAACAATAACGAAGTTGTTTGTATAAGGCTTAAATTTATATTTAGACTTCACTATGTATAATTGCTTTAAAATTTTCTTTTAATTCTCCTAGAGTACAAACCAGGGAGCCAAAATTAGCTACACATTATATTTGAGCATTATGAAAGTGAGTTTCTGTATGGACAGTCATCTCATTTACTCCTAAAAAAAAAATAGGACCGCAGATGTGGTTTGGGGAATTTTTTAGTCTTAAAACATAACCCAGAAGCACAGCTCAAATTTTCAAAGTTCAAGGGAATGAGTGAGGCCATGTGTGGTAACTTCTTCCCTCCTTCTACCCCAGCTGTGGATCGCTCAGTCTCATCCAGCCTTGCAGATGCAAGAGATGCCTTAGTCAATGCCGTGGTGGACTCCTTGGCAGCGTACATGTCAACTGCCTCAAATCTGCAGCAGTCCATGCTGATAGCACCAAATTCCCTCAAGCTTTTCCCACTCTATATTTTAGCTCTTCTCAAACAGGTATGTATGATCTAGTGAATTAGTGTTTGATGTTTAGTTCATTGTTCCATTTGAGGAATTCTTCAGTTCTAGGTCAAGCAATGTCTGCACTTCTCTAAAGTTATGGAAATTGGATTACCATCTCTATGCCAACTAAACTTTATTGTAGAAGATTACCATAGTAGCTTATTTTAAATTGTTAATGTCTGAACCTTTTATTAGTTTACTTGATTTTGAATTTCTTATGTTCTGTCTTATATTGCTTTACAGTTAAAATAAATAAATAGTTTACAATCAGCATTTCTCAGATTTTGGCAGCTCATTAGTGTAGACCATTAAGGTTGTTGGAAACTGCTTATTAGTACTGCTTCATTTTTATTTTATGAAGTCAGAAACAAGAATTTTCCAATACATATTTTTTGTCCTTTAAATTTCCAAGAAGAAAAATGAGTTTCCATGGAAATACAGTAAAAGTTACTATGGAAACTCAAGTGATGTTGTTGAAAGTTCACATAAAAGTAGTTACTACTTTTTTATTATTATTTTTTAATGAAATCTTTGTTTGGATTACTGAACATCATACTTAAAAAGAGACAGCTTACTGCAGGGTTTTGTTATGAATAAATCTCACTGCTTAAATTTTTTCATGTCTGACAGTTCTTGGTTCTGTTATGATGAATAAACCTTTATATAAGTCTTGTAAGAGATCTAAGCATAATAATTTATTTTCTTTGGCTTAGTGATTACTTCAGTTTCTAATATACTGATTATGATTTTTTTATACTAACATGACAAATGCAGTTAATGGTGGGAGAAAATGCAGACTATTATTGAGATCTGTGTAAAAGATAGAAATAAGAGTGGCTGGGAAAAGTTGTTTAGGTTTGGACTTTTTATTGTCTTTATTAGCAATAACAAAATATGGGATATAGAGAAACCAAAATCAAAATGCTTGTGGCAGCCAAGAAGGAGTGATGTCCTTAGCTTTGTTGTAGAAGTGAATATGAACTTTGATTATAAGAATGTTCTTCATTGAGTTAGAATATGATGTTTAATTCATTGTGTTGCTTCTCACAGCAATTGTGTACCAGTTGCTTCTAAAGGAGATCTGAAAAATTCAGTAGGAGATAGTTAAAAAATAAATTTTATCCCATGGGAGTCTAGTTTCTCCTATAAAACATGAAAGTATGTTTCCATTCCAAAACTTTTCCTTAACATTGAATTCTTACTAATATTAAGTCAGAGTCAATCTTCTGCACATATGTACCTTGCCTGAACTCTGCTTACCTTGTATCTTTCCAGTGCTAGCTTGCACTTATGAGTTTCAAAGGCCAGTGTCGCTTGTCAAGAATAAAAATGAGAAATGCTGGTCCAGTTGCATGCAAATTTTAGACAAAGTGAGGGAGAAATTTATTCTCCTTCATGAATAAGGAGGGGCTAGATTATGTTTTAAAAATCTTGCTCAAACTCTATGATTAAGATTCTACCCATAAGATACACTTCTTTACAAAAGCTCTGCCACCTTTGCTTGACACTTTGAAAAGTCTGAACTGCACTCTTACATGTGACATAAGTACAGGATTTGTTTGAGTGGTAATGTGCTGTTGCAGAAAGCCTTCAGAACAGGCACAAGTACCCGCTTGGATGATCGTGTCTATGCAATGTGCCAGATGAAGAGCCAGCCCCTTGTTCATTTGATGAAGATGATTCATCCCAACTTGTACAGAATAGACAAGTTGACTGATGAGGTAATGTATGAAGCCTGGTAATAGCATTTCCTACTTTTAATGACCCATTAAATTTGGTGCTGTGCTGCAGTAATTTTATGTTGTTATTGTAATACAAATGGAGCATTTCCCCTAAGTTATGAAAATCAAGAGAAATATTATTTTCAAATTTTGAGTTGCATGTACGGTAATGTGGTATGAGCAGAACTGTGGTTTTACTTCATCTTGTTTCAATGACCACAGTAATGCCATAATTTTTTGTCATACAAAAAAAGTAAAGATATTGTATGTATGGGAGACTGTGTTTTTTTTATTTAGAACTGTCTGAGGTAAATGGGTGTAGTAGATCTGATCTGATGGATGATTCAAGGTTTTATATACAGAAATCAGATATAGTTGCTTGCAATAACAACCTTCCAGTGGTTTTTCAGACTGAAGTGGATAAAACAGAATTTTACTTCTAGATGGTTGTGATCAGACTGAGACAGTACTTCATGTACAAAACCAGGTTTTAATATTTCCTATTCTACAGATGTAGCCTGGGAAAAGGATTTTTAATAGTAAAAGCATTTTTAGTAGTAAAAAGCAAGGTGGGGTTTTATTTAAGGACAAAATTAGTTATAATGGCAAAAATAAGGGGTTTTAAAAGTAAAATTTTATTAGTTTTAGTCCCTAGTTTTGGAAAAGTATATGTAGGAGTTTGCTTCTAAGTGATACAAGGTTATAGAGTAAACTGAATAGTTTCACTGGTATTGTATAATTCTGTTCAGCACAACCTCTGAGCTATTTGTAGTCTTAAAGTTTCTTTTAAGGTATTTCATAAACTTAAATAGGTGAGTCTAAACTCAGTGTTCTTCAGTGGAGTCGCTCTTTTTATACTCCACCCCTACCAGTCTTTGAGATGCCAACTTCAGCTGGCTTTGTGAAGTTATTTTTGTGGCACTTAAATTGTAACGCTCTGTGCTTGTGCTGTAAAGAATCTGCAGTGTCTTTAGGAGATCCACTTTAATTAGCAAAGGCTTTCAGACTGGTTATTTGGAGTACAATAATACAAAAATAGGGCTTATTTTAACTACTGAAATTAATTGGCAAACCAGATATTAAATCATAACAGAATGCGACTTTGCCATTTAGTACTGCTCCAGTTTAAAGTATTTGTGACAAAGGCTGCTCTTAAATGTTGTTTCTTTAAAAAATTTTTGTGAAATTAAAAAAAAAAAAATTAAATTTTAAAATATTTTTGAAATATTTCAGAATTCCTTTAAAATCTTTTTGCTAGTTTTCTTTGATTCTTGAGAGTATTGAGTAAAGCCTGGAACTTCCCCAGGTGGAATTCAGTAGCTTGATTTTCATAACTATGTCTAAATCCCCAAAAGCTGTTAATTTATGGCATTATGGTATGAAATTTTTTAAGTAGTGATTTTTTAAAATAATCTTATACTACTTGGGCATGTGCTTAGTCAGTAGAGTATTTTTCCCCATATCATTTTCAGAATGCTTCAGAGTTTCTTGAGATGTCTGGCCTGTTTTTGTATTGGAGGAGGAGGCAACTTTAATATGAAAATACTGGGCCAGGGGGTTGTGTACATGGGGATTTTTTATTATTGTTTTTGTTTGTTTTATTGCTGGGGCGAAAGGCAGGGTATTTTTTAATAGTTAGTTCAAACAACCAGATTCCTTAAGCAGATCAGTCATAGGGCTCTGTGGACAAACCCAAGGATCACTTCATGCAGGATCTTAAATCAGGGGACTTCCTGATAATGGAATGCAATAATATATGGAACCCTTACAGGGAGTAGAATTTGATGGTTTTCTGCTCTTGCAACATTTCTAGTGAAATTGAATGCAGTGGAAAAAACCCAGAGGTTTTTTGTAGAAAACTTAAATCACCAGTAGTAATTATTTTGAAATTCTGACATCTGTAGCATCAAAATTATTACATAAGTATCTTAAATTAACTTGCATTATTATGTTTTAGGTATTAAAGTAGCCCTTAAAATAAGTAACATTATAGAACTGTTTGATGTACATAATCATTTTAGGCTTAACGTAGTATTTTGTTATATGAGAATCTTCAGAATTTTGCTAGAGATTATCAGTGTTTTTCCTGCTTTGTTTTACCTTTAAGGGTAAAATTCTAGTGTTATTTGAGTGTTGGGTTTTTGTTGCAGAGTACAATACATGTAAATGACAGAGTTGTTCCTCAGCCACCCCTTCAGAAGTTGTCTGCAGAGAAGTTGACAAGAGAAGGAGCTTTTCTTATGGATTGTGGTTCAGTAAGTTAAAAATTTACACATTCCTTTTTTAAAAAATTTCCTAAGGAGAAAAAGAAGACCAAAAAGCAGTGCCTGTTGTGTTATTAAAACCAGTGAGCTTTCAGCAATAACAGTGTTGTGAATCAGCATTCCCGGTAACCTGACAGTAATCTCTGTTCCAGTGAAAAGCTTTCATATTTTGATCTGAGGGTATATTTATCTTTGAGGCTATAAAGGTTGATTTTTTTCATGCAATACTGGTCAAAGTATATCAAGAGTTCACACAAAGACATTTTTTATGAAATTATTGTATTTTTATTTTCCAGAATTTCTTTTAGTGGCTATTAAATTGCAAATACTAGAGGATTTAGCAAAACACCTGATGCAGGAGTGTTCTCACATATGCACAAAGAGTGGGTTTATGATTTGTGGCCTGTGTTATGTAAGAGTTGCAAGAGAGAGGGAATTGGAGACGAAACAAAATCTGTAGATACAGTTTAAGGCATTTCTAGAAATTGCACTAAAACACTCAATTGGATAAAGCATTTTGCTACCCAGTGCCAGTCTAGAAGGTTCTTTTAACCTTGAATCACTTCAGGGCTGAGTGTCAATGTAAAACCAGGTTTTGTCTCCAGACCTCTGAAATAATTACTACAATAAGCTTTGATAATTGATGCTTTGCTACAACTTGTTTAGATTGGGAAGCCAGTGTGCAGTAACCAACAGAATGGTGTGACTTCAGATAATTTGAGGGGTTTCATTTAAGGAGGTAACATGGGAAATCACTGCATTAACTGTTCCATTATAAATGTGTCCTGCAACCTCATTTCTTCAGTATTTGAATTCTACCTATACATAATTTTTTATATTTAATGCCCTTACTCTTAAGTTTTTCGAAGGTACTGATTATTTACACACTTACTTATGAATATAGACATGTAGGTATGAATTATAACTGGAACACTCAAGTGCTTAATTTGCATGGAAGTTACTATTCTGGGATTATTCCTATTGCATCACCACTTGCCTATTTCTCTAAAATGTATGCAGGGCCTTTTCTAAAACTGATTCTGACATTTTACAGATTTTTTACCTTTGGATTGGAAAAAACTGTGATAACAACTTCATAAAAGATGTCCTTGGATACCCGAATTATGCATCAGTGCCACAGAAAATGGTAGGAATTTTAATGAGCTGAGCTGTAAACTGCTTACACTTGGAATGTGCATTTAATCTATTTATTTCTGCATTTTCAGTTTTTAATTATATAACTATGAGTTAGGTTGGAGTTACTCCTAATTAGGTATCTTCCAACCTCTTATCAGCTTCATAGGAGCCAGATAGAAGTTGTCAGATGTTTTCAAGGAAAGAATGTAAACGTGTAAATTTCATCATTCATTAAATGTCAAACAGTTGCTCTGCAACATAACTGCTTTTAATATTTTAATGGAAGTACATATACATTCACAAGAATAGGAAGCAATTTCATTGGATGAATACAAAAATTACCTATTCAGATGTGTTAATAATTAAGATTAGAGTTAGTTCATTGATAACATAGTTTCCATTGACAACAAAGCCTTGTGTTCTCTGAACCTGGTTTAAGATACCAAATCTGTGGGATGACACAACAGACCTGTAAGTAATGGTAAGAGTTAAGTTTTACTCAGATTCCAAGCCTTGACTCAATGTTAAAAAGAGAAACTTTCAGCTGTTAAAACATCAGAGACTCTTGGGTGTATGTTTTGGTGGAGGGGTTTTTATGACAGGTAGTTTTTATGACTACCTGTACCTCTAGTCTAGTGTGTGAAAGAGAGTAGCAATTAGAGAAGTCTCCTCTTCAGTAAGTAGTGATTCCATAATATCAACAATTGGCAAATAAGGATGGACCCTTTCAAGACAGTCTAGGAAAGTTCAGAATGAAATGGTTATATCCAAATAGTACCAAAAAATGATAGCATAGGAACACATAGGTAGATATGTTCTGCTTACAGTTGCATAGTATCAAGAAGGAAAGTGACAAGAACAGGTGAAGAGTGGTAAGTTATAAGATTACTATAACACTGGGCTGCTTGTTCAGAGTTTTGTATTTTGCATGTATTAGCAATCTAGAACTGTCCCCTATGACTAGCTGATGGTATTAGTTAATAGAGTTTCCAGGAGGAACTTAGATAAAGGAAGGATAATTTCCTTAATGGTTATATAGCATCTGTTATAATGAAAATGAGACAAAAACTTACATAAAGTTATCTTTGCTTTTAAGTTATGCCCTCATTTTACAAAAGTAGCAGTGGAACTACTTGAACTGAAATAAATTCCTTTGTGTTATGTTAATTGTCTTTAAGTATCATATTGGGTAAAGAGGTGATACATTTAGCTCAGTGAATTCCTCAACCCTTTTAAGTCTATTTTTTCAGCTCATTCCCTAGCCAAGTAGTCCAGTAGCATCTTTCCATTGATATTTACATAAAATTCAGATTTTACTTCTTGTTCCTTCAGTGATGCAAAGTGCAACGTGTAGAAACTTGATTGGCAGAAGAAGATACAGGCAAGAAGACTGCAAAAGCAGCATTTTGAAAAGATGACTTTGCTATCTAAAATATTTTGCACTTAAAACACAGTAAACTATGTTTTTATAAGTTAAAGATGCTTAAAAGTTGAAGATGTACTCCTTCCTAGGTAGCAGTGCACCACAGATACTATGAAGTATTGTCCTTTAAGCTGAAGCAAAACAGCTGTGTATGTAAAATCAGGGTTAGGAACTTCTTAACTGAGACTGTGGCTTGAGTTATGTTACAGCTTTCAGGATCTGTTTTTTTTAATAGTTTCAGTAATAAAAGGTGATGGTTTCTTTCAATTACCTTCAACCAGACACAGCTTCCTGAGGTGGATGCACCTTCTTCAGAAAGGACACGATCTTTTATATCTTGGCTTAGAGACAGTAGACCTTTAAGTCCAGTTCTTCAAGTAATAAAGTAAGTATTTCTGTTATGCACTAAGTTGTTACTAGCAACTTGTATTTACAATTTCTAATTAAGACTGATGAAAAGTGAGTACATCTATCTTGGAAGAAACTGAATAACATCACCTTCCCAACTGATGCTGTTTATAAAACTGTCTAGTGACAAAGGTTTTCTTTGAATCTAGTGCAAATTCAGTTGCTCATAGTTTTATTGGTAGGAATTAGTTGCATATATTTATTAGGAATATACTAAACCTCAGTGGATGTCCTTATGCTCAATGGTGTTAACCAGGTTAGTTTCTAGTATAGGTTTTATAATTTCATTATATGTGTATAAAAAAAATTCAAGTAAAGTTAGTAATATGTAGATGGTTTAATAATTGTATGTATTTGTTAATGAGATCTACAGGACATCAGCTGATAGATGGGCCAAGTTCTGAAGCCTTTTCAAGCTATGACTTGCTTAAGGAGGTTTAAATTCTATGAAATGTTTATACTTGAGATTACATTTCACTTGTAGAGTACTTGTTTTACTGAGCTGGGCAGGAGATCACTTTTTAGAGAGTGTGATGACTTGCTCAGAGAAATGATACTGAAATATAGGAGTGAAGGTCTTGAGCTGTTGGCATTGTGGCTGCAATTCCTGGAGTTGCAGGAATTTCTGATAGACCATAATAAGTAGCAGAGCTTTGCTGCATGCTACACTACACCGAGACAAAGGACTGTGTCCCAGCAAATTTTTATGGGGCAATAATTTTGGATACTAGGTCTTTCACATGGTACCTTTTCTATTCTGTTGCTCAGGAAGAAAGTCTGGGTAGGGGATTGAGATTACATGTAAACAGAGATGTAGTTTTTGCATTTTTTCATTGCCACCAGCATATTTGTTAGCTTCAAAAACAAAAGAATTTTTACATTTCCTTTTTTGTGTTTCTACAAGATACTCTTAAGTGCTGTATTTCACCTGCTCTTCTACCATTTTATGTACTTAAAAAGATGCTGTTGTTTGGTATTGTATTGCAAACTTCAAGATTTCCTAGATTTTGGATTATTTGCAATTGTAATCTCTTTGGACTGAATTCCAAATGACAGTCAGCAATTTATTAGAACTTATCTCTCTGAATTTACAGTGGATTTTTTTGCTCAAAGTTTGATTTTGCTCAGTACCTTCCCTTCTTCTTTCAGAGATGAGAACCCTGCCAAAACAGATTTTTTTCAGCATTTAATTGAGGATCGGACAGAAGCAGCTTTCTCGTATTATGAATTCCTACTTAATATTCAACAGCAGATTTGTAAGTGACCAAGGAAGAGGTAGAGGAAAAAGTCTGACTTCAGACAGAAGCGTGGGCCAAGAGAACCATATGGGAAGTTACAGAAATGGATGCTTGTTCTTCACAATATACAGTGACCAGCACTGTTTTGGAAGCTCTACAGCTAAAGGAGTATACATTTCCAAAAGAATTTTGCAGATTTCCTTCAGTCTAAAATGCTACGAGTGATGAAGCTGTTTCACTAGTAAACTTTAAAATTGGTTTGTACACGTTTCCAGTTGTGCAGCGGTATGGTGCTCTGTTTATTGCAAGCTGGTGAATTTATGTAGCTATGTGGGATGATATTTCTTAACAAAATGTACAATTAGGTAAAGCCTTTTTTCTTACATTTGTTATAGTAGCCCTTCCAGATCCAAATCCTTAACAGAGATGTCAAAGGGCAGTGATGTATGTTGGTTGTTTATATGAATTTCTTTTTAAAAGGAATGGTTCATACTTGCTAAAGATTTCAGCAAATTCCCTGTGAAAGTTGTAGAGTTTCAGTAAAGTAAATCAATTGTAGAAATAAAATATATAATGTACATAGGTATTACATTTGTAAAGAAAATGTAAAAAATGTAACTAAAAAAAGACCTAGCTCATTGTGCAGAATTGTTGAGTGCTCGATGATGATGAATTGTTCTGTCCCAGGCTAGACAATGAAGTTGACTATTAAAACATGATAAAAGTATCAATGTAGAAGGAATATAGCTGCTGCTTCTGTTAATTTTAGGTGAATTTATTTATGATTGGCTTACTAATTAAAATATTTTGCTTTATCATGTGGTTTTATATTTATGCAACTATAATCATTTTCCAGCTAAACTCTTACCAAACTGAATATTGAAGAAAACATGTTTACCACCTTACTTCACAGACCTATGGAAGGGAGGAGAAAACACCACATAACCTGAAATGAGAGTTCCTAAACCCCTTCTAATGTATTATCCTGAAGAAGGCATATCTCTTAACCTTGTTTTGCATTTTATAACTACTGTAGTCTTGGTCCAGGTTTCTGTAACTTGTGTTGTCTGCCATTTAGAGTAAGTGTGAGTAATCACTCACACTTGTAGATTTGAATTCTGCTGTGATCTAAGGAAAAACAAGAAGGGATGTAAAAATTAATTACATTACATCAGTGAAAGTAAAGGCTTTAAAATGACAAAATTCAAAATGTAATCACACTTGCATATTTCAGAAACTTTATTCTTGTTAATGTTTTGGTAACTTAAGGGTTTGGGCTTTTTGATAGATTAATGACAGATTTTTTCAGTTTGGTGAATTTGGGATTTTTTTTTCAGCCTTTCTTTTAGAGACACATTAGAATTAATTCATAAAGCACAATCAATCATACTTAGTTTTCTGAACTTTGTTTATCTGTTTGGTTTAATGAAATGTGACTACAATAGAATAATTAGGTACAAAAAATAAATTATTATCAGTATGATTACATTTTAATTTAATGTAGCCTTGAAAATGCTAACATTGTATTTTAACTGCTCTAGCCCCTGAATCAAATATTCAAGGAGAAGATGTACTAGCTATGGTTTGCAAATGCTTTAAAAGCTACAACAGTTAAATTGCGCCAGTAGTGTTACTCTGCATGTTAGCACAAACTCATTGTTTGGAGAAGATACCTTATATTGTGTGTTGTCCTTAACTAAATGTGTTTAAGTTACCCAAAGAATTACAGAAGAGAAACTTTCCATTGAGTAAATTAATTTATCATGTAATAAACGTCTGAGGCAATGCTGAATGTTGTCCCGAAATCAGACCTTCAGGATTTCAGTGCTTGTTTGTAAAGTAATGTGCATTGGGTGAAAGCTAAGTGCTGCTGAAGAGTGGGGCATCTTAAAAATCATTTGTATTTGTGAAGATGAGAAGAGCATGTTAACATTTCAAATGCTCCATGAAGATGCTTCTAATTTGTCAGTTTGGTGTTGATATCTGGGAACACGTTATGCCATGATTAATTGCAACATATTCTGTAAAATAATTTCTTAAAGCTTTATTCTTCTAGTATAGTTTTTGTATATAAAAATTATGAAAAAAAAACATTTTTAGAGCTATTTGTTCAGTAAAATTATTACACAGCACAGAGAATATAGTTATTTTTTTATTAATGATAGAGCACATCTCCATTCTGATTTTTGGTTTAAATTTTAACAAGATAGTCTCATGGAAATATCTTGAATTTGAAACATCTCAGGATTTAGGGTACTGATTTTAGTCTTTTGATCAATAGAGTATCTGTAGGCATGTCAAGAGTATCTCTGAGAAGGACCTGAGTGTCCTGGTGGACCACAAGCCTTCCATGAGCCTGGTGGTGTCCTTGTGGCCAAGAAGGCCAATGGCATCCTGGGGTGCATTGGGAAGAGCATTGCCAGCTGGTTGAGGGATGTGATCCTGCCCCTCTGCCCAGCCCTGGTGAGGCACATCTGGAGTGCTGTGTCCAGTTCTGGGTCCTCAGCACAAGAGGGACATGGAGCTCCTGGAGTGGGTCCAGCAGAGGCCATAAGGGCGATGAGGGGGCTGGAGCATCTCCCAGAAGGAAAGGCTGAGGGAGCTGGGTCTGTTCAGCCTCCAGAAGGGACAACTGAGAGGGGACTTCAGTGTTCATGAGCATCTGAAGGGAGGGTGTGAAGGGGATGGAGGCAGGCTCTGCTCAGTGGTGCCCAGTAGTAGGACAAGAGACACCAGGCAGAAACCAATGCGCAGGAAGGAGCATAAGGAAGAAATTCTGTACAGCAGGGGGCTGAGCACTGGAACACATTGCCCAGAGATGCTGTGGAGTCTCCCTCACTGGAGATAATTCAAAAGCCATCTGGATGCCATTCTGTGCCATGTGTCTTGGGATGAGCCTGCTTGAGCTGGGGTGTCAGACCAGATAAGCCTTGGTCCCTTCCAACTCAGACAATTACAATGGCTTGAATCACGCCACTGTAGCAGAAGATACAGATTGAAGATTAATCCAACCAGGGGAAGTACTGTGAAGCTCAACAAGGCTTATTGCCTACTTAAGTAAGGTTTGGGAGAAGAGATAAAAGACATACTTTTGTATCTGCTTTAATAAAATGCTGAACTGCCCAAAGTAGCTCTCAGCCATTCTAGGACTTGAACTTTTCCCTAAGTGTCTTCCACACTGCATAATATAAAGCACGTCTGTTTCAGTAGAAATTTAAGATTTCCCAGGGAAGATGTTTCCCAGCCCCAGCTAAGTAAGATCAGTTCAAATGTCTAATATTTTAAGTACTGACAGTGGGGATCCCTTTCATGTCTTTGCTCTACAACATCTTATATATCTTTTACCTAGGAAGCAGTATAGAGAAATTAGAGCCCATGAAGCTCTTACAATGGTGGGACATGTAATGCAGCTCCCTAAGAAGTGTTATTGAACTCAATTACTCAATTCTTTATTTTTGTTCTTAAGCTTATTAGAAATAAACCTATTTATTAATCTTGGTGTAGCTCTTCTCATGGCAGTGAAGAAAAGATGACTGGGGCAGGCAATTTTGTTTTGTCTTGGCTTTCTGTAAATTGTGTCAATACTGAAATGATAGTTTTGTCATGGCTGGTTTGTAAAAAGCCAAAATCAGTTGTTTGTAATCCTGAGAGCCAAGAACTCTTCAGTAATGTTAAATGTGGAGTCAAGTTTTTTCACACCAGGTAGATTTTAAGAATTTTATTATGAAGTTTCAAGGTATGGGACACAAGTGGATAAATGAGGAAGTAATTAAAACCTCAGTCACTGATTTCTGCAGTTGGAAGTTTTGGACTGTATTTGTCTCTGCAGGCAGGATGTAACCCTGCAGAAATTCGGTAGCCAGTGTGGGGAATGGGGAGGTCTGAGGCTTAGCTGGCAATGAACTGATGCAATACCCCAAATATGTATCTGTTACTATGTAAACATTACTTAAATGATGTTTTGTTTAAAAGCAGTTTTTTATACTTTAATACATGTTAAATTTTTATATAGTATTTTCTGGTAGTTTATTCAGTTCTAAAAAAGTATGAGAGGGTTTTACATGCTGTGTTGCATCTCAGATTTTCATAAAGGAGGTAGAATATAATTAGAATGACAGATACTTCTGATTTTTAGCATACCAGGATCTTTGGTAGATTTGTGTTGGGAATTTTAAAGGAAATGGGCAAACTGTAATGATTTATTGATGCAATTTCTTTACCTCTCAGCCTCTAAAATTAAAAAAAAAAAAAAAAGAAAACAATTTCTAGCAGTCTTCCATGTCTTTACTTAAACTGATGTTACATCATATTCAAATTCAGGGATCTGGAAAAGTGCAGTTACAGCTTTTGCAAAAAACTGGGATTGAAGTCTCTTTTGAGAACATTTTATTTTTCCTCACGCGATACTGATGATTCCTCTCCATGGAAAAATCCAAAGGCATTTCTACTTTTTGGAGAGTATCAAGAGAATTCTCACATGATTACCATAATGTAAAAGATTATTGCAACAACAATGACAATTCAAATAACTACATAATAGGTCTTTCTTCATTTTATGCTTCAATCCACTTGCAGGGCCTTTGATATTTTTTCTCTGCAGTTTTGATAACTAGGAAAAAGTAAATATTACACAGAATTTCTTCTTACTTTCCTTTGGCAGACCTTAGCAAAAGGAGCTGCCTAATTAGCAGTACCAGTCATGCACAGGATTTCAGTCTGTGCACACTTCTATAGAAGATAAATAGGGGAAGTGGCAGAACTCCTGGAAGTATTTCACAACCTATTAAATATTTCTTAAATGGAGAAAGGATTAAAATTTCATTTTCTTGCATCTGTTTACCTTTGTGATTTTCTGGTTTTTATTTACATAAATCTACGTTTGAGGCTTTTATTTTATCTTTTTCAGATGTTAAGAGAACCCTGCCCTAGAGGCATCATCAAATACAGATCTCGAATTACACCCTTAATCATGCTACCATTAAAAGAAAAGTGTAAATTTCACAAAGGTCAAGAGTGTTGGAAGGAAGTACTGTTTGGTTAACAAGTATAATACTTCTTTATTGATGTGAGTAGAAAGTTTCCACTTGCAAGACACTGAGGCTTTGTGGGATTCTTGAGTTAAGTGTTTATTGGCATAAAAATCCTCAAGTATGAGAAACAGTTGGTGATAATTAGCCATCTTGGTAATCTGCTAACCATTGGAAATGTTATTCTCATATTGTTTGAAAATATGTTTTAAAAATTAACAAATTATTTCATGTTAGATCTTCATTTGGGCACAGAAAATACTATTTAGGAAAATACTTTCTTCTGTTAATAACTTCTGTAGATACAATGCTTTCAAAAAGTTCTGCAGGCTTCAAGTCTCGGCTTCTATGAATACAAAAAAAACTACTAAAAAATACCTGATGACCTAATGCTGAAGAGAAAGAAAAAAAAGTAATAAAATATGTAGAAGTCGTCTGTAGCTAAGGAATTCTTTCTGCTCTTTTCAGCAGCAGAATATGATGCCTTCATTATCTGAAGTAGAGCTTAGGAGAGGCCAGAAGTAAAACTGGAATCACTGGTACATGTCCTCATCCAGTTTACTGAGCACATGCAGAGCTTCTGAAAGATTGGTGCTTCCCTATCCAGATGATGATGTTTAGGCATTTCTTACAATCTGGCTGTATCTCACAGTGCCTTACATGTTCATTCAAAATAAAAAGCCATTTGAGTTTGCAAGTTCTCCCTTTTCCCTCATCCAGGCTATTATTTCAAATTACTAAACCATGTACATGAAAGTGTAATTTATTCTTGGAGAGCAAGCATCAAATCTTTCAGCCTTCCAAACATGTTTTGAAACTTTCTAAGTTCTGGAAGAAGAGTGGAAGCTGCCCATGCAAGGCAGGCTCTGGCATCTCCAGCAGTGCGGCGGGATCGGTTCTGCAGGAGGGACACAGCCCTGGGA